TTTATGTAAAATAATTGTAATGGTGTCTGGCACACAACAGTTAATGTGTGTTAGCTTTTATTATTATGGTAATATTATTATTGCTGTTTTGATTGACCTAAAGCAAGGCACCATTGGTCCAAGATTTTTTCATCTCCATCTCGAAATCCCTAGTAATTTTTCTGCAAATCCTGTATGTAAGTGGGTGATTAAACCATATGTTGTCTGCAAACTTACTTTTTGCTTATCTTTGTGTTGGCTTTGTCAGGGTTAGGGACCTAACATGTAGACCATCTGTGTAAAGAGAGCATAGCTTTTGCTAATAACTGCTGGCATCCCTCTTGGATTTTGCAAAATCTGACCAGGATATCCACAGTTGCCAAGTTCAGCTAAAGCATGTCTTGCAGTCAGCAAAGATTGTTTCTGATAAGCTTCCTATTTAAGATTCTTTAGGACTGTGGAAGACCTCAGGGGTGACTTCATTGCATAGCAGTAATACACAGTAAGATCTGCTAGTTAATATATTCTCTGATTCATGAAAGATGTATTATTTTATCATGGCACAAGTTCTGCCAAGTTGCTCTCTTTAAAGATATTATCAGAATTCGAATCAGAACATAGGGTATGAATGAGTCAAAAGAATCACCGTCACCACTATCAGAATAAAACCAAGGGCTTGAAAAGAATAAACTACTGCATGCATTATTTCAAATGAATAACAACATGCATTATTTCAAATGAATTTTACTGAATGACAGAAGCAAGACTCAAAAAGCACATGTATTTATATGACATTATAGAAAAGGAAACATCAGTAGGTACCAGGATCTGGTGCTAGGAGCAGAGAGGGGGTGGACTACAAAGGGGCACAGAAATAGTTGCAGCAGGATGGAAATATTCCATATCTTGACTGTGGTAGTGGTTATATCAGGGGTCCCCAGCCCATTGGCCACAGACTGGTACTAGCTGATCCATAGCCTGTTTTGGATGGGGCCGCACAGCAGGTGAGCAGTGGAGCAGATGAGCAAGCAAGTTAAGCTTCATCTGTATGTACAGGCGCTCCCCATCATTCACATTACTATCTGAGCTCTACCTCCTGTCAGATCAGCAGCAGCATTAGATTCTCATAGGAACTTAAACCCTATTGTGAACTGCGCATGTGAGAGATCTAGGTTGCATGCTCCTTATGAGAATCTGATGCCTGATGATCTGTCACTGTCGCCCATCAACCCCAGATGGGACTGTCTAGTTGCAGGAAAACAAGCTCAGGTTTCCTGCTGATTCTGCATTATGGTAAGTTGTACTGTTACTTCCTTTTATATTACAATGTAATAATAATAGAAATAAAGTACACAATAAATGTAATGTGCTCAAATCATCCTAAAACCATTCCCCCCCCCGCCCCAACCCAGTCAATGGAAAAATTGTCTTTCATGAAACCAGTCCCTGGTACCAAAAAGGCTGGGGACGTCTGGGTTACATTTTCAGGTGCATTTGTCAAAACTCCTGGAACTATACACCAAAAAGCGTGAATTTTACTGTTTATAAATTATGCCTCAATCATTCTTGCTTAGAAAAGCAAAATAAAGCAAACAGCTTACAACATTGATGCAGGGTAGTATTTCTTCGGAATATGAAGGACAGCATATTCCTGTATCTTCCTCTGAAATGTTAATAGGTTTCTTATGTATTTACTATGCATTTATGTTTACTTATTACAGTTGGAAAGTCACATTTTTATCCCACAAGTTATTTAATTTTTTATCCCTTTCTCCTTATAAGTAGTAATTGCTTAAAAATTACTTAGGTTTTTGGCCAGGCGCGGTGGCTCAAGCCTGTAATCCCAGCACTTTGGGAGGCCGAGGTGGGTGGATCACGAGGTCAAGAGATCGAGACCATCCTGGTCAACATGGTGAAACCCCGTCTCTACTAAAAAACTACAAAAAATTAGCTGGGCATGGTGGCACGTGCCTGTAATCCCAGCTACTCAGGAGGCTGAGGCAGGAGAATTGCCTGAACCCAGGAGGCGGAGGGGGGGGGGAGCCGAGACCGCGCCATTGCACCCCAGGCGGGGGAAAAAAAGCGAAAACCCCTTTAAAAAAAAAAAAAAAAAAAAAAATTACTTAGGTTTGTAAATTTCATGGAGTATCCTGCATGTGTGTCATATACCATTCTGGATGCCTCTGGTCACATGTAACACTTAGCCTGGCCTAAACAAGAATGAAGTTTATTGTCTTCATTCCTGTGGTTGTGGACTTATAACACTCATAACACTTAAGCCTACATATACTGTCATTCTCTAGGAGCCCCAAAAAGAGATGTCTCCCGTTGGCTCTGCCTTAAGGGAAGGAAGCTTCCTGTTGCCAAAGCCTTCAGTGTATATTTCCTCATATCTCATTGTCTCTGGAACCAATCACTGTGTACCTGGAACCAGTCACTATGTACTTGGATTCTTACATTATTCAGGGCCCCACCTTTTGATCTGGAAATAAAGTCTGTTTCCCCAGAGGAATTGGCTGTATATTACTAATATATACACTAACCCAATCTGGATACTAATAAGAAATGAGAGATGGGAAATATGCCAATCTAGAACATTGCCAGAACATTATCCTGAATTGTATTAAGTTAAGCCAAAACTTTGCCTAATTGTAGAATTAAATGACTATATCTTATTTCTGTGTTTCTGAGACCACTAATTATTTAAACACTGTTATACTGCTTTACCTGAGGACTTCACATAAAAATACCTCATTTCAATGCCACTGTAAGAAATAACACATTAACTTTACATGTTAGAATGGATCTTGTGTGTAAAGTATAAAGCATGAAGTAGATGTCATGTGATGAACACAGTGAAGTAGTCATAGGATTTAATAGCATTTATACACAGTTTAAAATATAGTGTTTATACCAAAGTTAGGCTCTGGCTTAAAATATGCTTTGGTCTACTTAAAATATGCTTCTAGAGTTTTGCCTAAACTTTTACGATACTTTATAATCTCCTACAGAGAAAGGGTATTTCAGCAAAGTACTAGATAGAAAGTTTTCACTACAAATATTTATGTTTGAAATATAAAATACCTTCCAGTAGGATGAAGCCCAAGGGCTTTAAATAGTTGAAGAAGGCTCTATGGACAAGAATGGAAATTCAGCAGTCAAAACGAAAAGTGTCTTAGACACCTAGAGAGCTACAATAGCAAGAGCATATGCCAGGCTATAGGAGGAGAAGGAAAGAAGAAAGCATATGCCAGGGTGTAGGAGAGGATGGAAAGAAGAAAGGTTAAGAGATGACCAGAGGCGCATTTGGATAATAATCAAACATACATTTGAGTGATGTGTTTGGAGAAATGGGCCTGTGATGATAGAATGAGAAGGAAGTTTGAGGAAGTGAGTAGAGGTTTGAATAACCCTGAATATACATAGTATGGATTTTATCCTGTCAATTAGAGGAAGACTACTGAAGGCTTTCCTATGAAAGTAGAATTATGTGTGCAATGTTTTTTTTTTTTAAGTTTAGAATTTTCTTTTCACTTGAAGATAAATAGCCCTAGAGAAGTACATGGAAGGATATACACTTGCATATTTTTCTCAGAGCAAAAATTTTAGCATATACATTAGAAAGAATTCCACAAAACAGTTGACAAAATACAAAAATAAAAACATTCATTAGACAATGGCTTAACTCTCTGGAAATACTGTTTCTTTTTAGTATTCAAAGAATTCATTCATTCTTGACTGCTTTATAAATGTGAAACAAAGGGAAGTTTTAGAAAGATTCCTCATACAACAACACAAGGTAAATTAGAGCCATAAAATATTGGAATCAGATTATTTGATAGCAATTGATTGGCAGGGGCTTGAGAAGAGATGAGCAAAACAGGGTGGCAGTGTTGAGAGCTTAAAGGATAAATGCTAAAGACATAGTATCATAAATAGGACTTGGTAGCAGTCAGGATCCCATAGTAGAGAACTAAGTTTAAACTAATTCAAGATTTCAGAGGCAGCTAACTGTACCATTACTAGGAAGAGAAAATTAGTTAGTAGTAGGGTAGAGGTTTCTCAGAAAAGATGAATTTGGTCTTGTGTTGTCAGCATGTCAAAGTAGTCATACATGTCCAGCAATAGTTGAATAGTTAGGTATGTGATTGCTACTTATTCATTCATTCGTTGAGCAATTTTGTATTGAGTACCAGTGTTTTCATTGAAGCATTGTAGTAAGCACAGGAGGCACAGCAGCTAATAAGAAAAAAAAGTTTCTGTCATCATGAAACTGGCAGGGTTATATAAATATATTTAAGGGTTAAATAAATACATACTGAAGAAATAAAGTGGAATTTAATTCGAAATAATATGGGCAGACAGGTGAGGGGGAGCATAAATGAAACAAGATTAACAATGAGTTGATAGTTGTGGAATCTCATTGATGGGCATGTAGGGGTTCACCTTACTATTTTCTGTATTATTTGGTTGAAGTTTTTCTTCTTTTTTTTTTTTGTTTTTTGGAGATAGGGTTTTGCTCTGTTGCCCAGGCTAGAGTGCAGTGGCACAGTCATGTCTCACACAGCCTCAACCTCCTCCCAAAGTGTTGGAATTATAGGCATGAGCCACTGCAGCTGGCCTAATAAAATGTTTTTTAATAAAAATTTAGTGTATACAGCTGATAGTTAGACAAGATGTCTGAGTGATGAATTTCCAAAGTGTAGCCTGAGAAAAATGGAAAAATGAAGAAAGGGTAATGCTAGGAACTGAAAAAGATAAAAAATTTCCAGGAAAAGGGTAGATAACGATAGTGGTAACTGCTGTAGAGGTCAAAGGAGAAACTCTAGTTTAAATCCAGCTGCTCGCTAATTTCTCCTTTTGTTCATTTCTTATCTGACATCTCTTGATGGCTGGAAGAACTAGGTAACTGAGAAGCTTGAGAAAACTGTTTTGATCAAATCATTTGAAGATGTGATTTTTACTTTAGAAATATTGTCCAAAGTTTTTTCCTAATGTGTGAATATCTGTTCAATTTTTAGGAGACTAATGAGGAAAAACTTCACAAAATAGCCAATGAACTTTTGCTTACCGAAAGAGCTTATGTCAACCGGTTAGACCTCTTAGATCAGGTAAGATTTTGTTTCTCAGAATTATTTTATGATTTTGCATTGTACATGGTTTTAATCTAGTAATTACAGTATTTTAGAAACTGCATGAAGGAAGGGCCTGTGTTTGGCTAGTGAAAGGTTCTTGCTCAAGTAAATCTAGCATTTTCAGCTTTGTCAGTGAATTCACTAGGTATAAGCATTTTCTAATTTGTGAAGAGTAGAGGTTTCTCTCTGTATAAATCACAAAATGTGTTTATCAGTGTCCTGTAACTTAAACACTAGTCTGTTTCTTGACCTTTAATTGTCATCCTGGGGACCATGTTACCATTATATTCTAAATAATATATTGATGATTTTGGCTGGGTGCTGTGGCTCACACCTGGAATCCTAGCACTTAGTGACCAGCCTGGCCAGTATGATGAAACCCTGTCTCTACTGAAGATACAAAAAATTAGCTGGGTGTGGTGGCGCATGCCCATAATTCCAGCTACTTGGGAGGCTGAGGCAGGAGAATCGCTTGAAACCGGGAGGCAGAGGTTGCAGTGAGCTAAGATCGCACTACTGCACTCCAGCCTGGGCAATAGGGTGAGACGCCATCTCTTAAAAAAAAAAAAAAAAAAAAAAAAGATGCTTTAGTTTTCAAAAGTTATTCTTATGCTCTTAGATTTTCCAAGTGTATATTTGAAATGATACTCAAGGTTCCATGATGAAAGTACAAAATGTGATAAAGTGGTTTCACACATTAAACAAATATCGGCTAGGCAACTTTATGCCAGGTACTATATTAAATGTTTCATACAAGATTGAACAAGTGAACTTTCAAAATCCTTCTGGCCCTATGACTACACCAGCTCAGATCATTTAGTTTCACCAAGTTGGCCAGGCTGGTCTCAAACTCCTGACCTCATGATCCGCCTGCCTCGGCCTCCCAAAGTGCTAGGATTACAGGCATGAGCCACTGCGCCTGGCCACTAAGGCATCTTAATCCTGTTTCAGCAATGAAGAATAGGACAAATGGTAGATTGCCCATACAGACTCCTTGTTAGAAGGGAAAGCTGTCATGTAGAGTGTTACTTATAAGAATTGTCCCACTTGTGCCAGTGAAAACTGGAATTTCATGGAAACAGGCAATCCTGTGGCTACCTCTTCATCATCGGTTCCAGAAGTGAACCGCTTGCCTGCGAGGGTGAGCTGTGAGAAGCCATTTTAAATCTTCTGCTCTTTGAAGGAATGAGTTTATGGATCAGATCATTTTTGAAGAAATTTCATCATAAGCCAAAATCAAATCACGTCAAGTTTGTACGTTTGAAAGAACTTTCTTCCTTATGGGGATTACAGACCTGAAATTTTAGATATTCCCATAGTGGAGATATTTCTTTTCTCTTAGCAAGTTGTGTGGTATTTTTTTTTTAAAAGCCAAATAACTTATCAGCTGCTGTTGCTGAACTTTTAGAATTCTAGAGTCCTAATTACTACAGTAACCTAACTATTGGAGCCTCTAAGGACATAATTTTGTGTTCTTTTTGCCTCTCAAGAAAATGCAGTGGAGGTGAATTTAGAAAATTAACAACCATCTGGACATTATGAAGGAATAGACCTCCTTCTGCCTACATGTAACAGAATGGCAATTAAGAGGTATAGTAGCCCTAGTGAAGTATAGCCAAGACCGAAGGTTCGTGTGGGTTTTGGGTTTTTTTTTGTGTTTGAGGTATGTGTTATTATGTGTAGAAAGAGACTTTTTCCCCTACATATCAATGTTTTAAGTTACTGTGCATTGTTATTTACTAAAAAGCAAGTAAATAGTTAAGAATTGATATATTCCTTTGTCCATTCACTGGCCAGATATTATGTACTTGTTCTGTTGTGGGAACTAAATCATGACATTCTTCTTTCCCAAGGAGCATACAGTTTTAATAGGAAAAATGAGATTTATGTCAGCAAACTACAATAAAGAGAAATATGTAATAAGTGCCATAGAAGTCTTTCAAAACATAAAGAGAAGTGAGAAATACCACAATTATTGTGTGTACATAAAGTGTGTTCACATTTCTTAACTCTGGCTTATGGCTAGGAAAGAAATTCTATTAACCTGAGTTGGAAATTTTCTGGCACAGAAAAGGTAAATTATTCGCCATAATATTCCTATTGATGGGAGCATAGCCTAGATTAGAATCAAAGCTTCCTAATTCTTATTCCTGAGTCTTCTAAATCAAAGCATATACTCACTCCTAAATTTCCAATGATGGATTTCTTGAACCGTAAACTTTTCCATTTGCTCAATAAAAAGTTCTACGAGCCCACTCTGTGCCTAGCACAGTGCTGGGTGGTTAACTACTAAATGTGAAGTAATGCTTGCATTATTCTTTTATTTAGGTATTTTATTGCAAACTGTTGGAAGAAGCAAACCGAGGCTCATTTCCAGCAGAGATGGTGAATAAAATCTTTTCTAATATTTCATCAATAAATGCCTTCCATAGTAAATTCCTCTTGCCAGAGCTGGAGAAACGAATGCAAGAATGGTAAGAGGAGTAGATAGAAAATGATATGTTTAAGGCAGTCATGTAAGATGCTGTATTTTTCAGTTTTTAAATTGAAATAGAAATGCCACACACAACTGTAGCTAGACATTTATGCTAAATGTTTACATTGAAGACCACTGATAGACGTTGTGGTACAAAGAACTTCATGTCTGCTCTCCAAACTGTCATTTAACTAGTGAAGACAAAATATCGGGTAATGTGGAGCTTCAAGAATTCCAGAGCATCTCTCTTTGCTATGTCATTCCGATAGTCCCTTTAAAAAGGTGCTGCGTCATTCTCTACCTGCCTCACAGTATGGTGAATGAGATAAAGCACAGGGTGTGATTACTTCCTCTCTAGTCCTGTCAATTTGCTCATTCTATAAGAAATCTTAATGTGCCAGGCATGATGGCTCATACCTGTAATCCCAGGACTTTAGGAGGCCAAGGCAGGCAGATCACTTGAGCCCAGGAGTTCAAGACCAGCCTGGGTAACATGGTGAAACCCCATCTCTACAAAAAATTCAAAAAACTAGCCAGGCGTGGTGGCGCACAGCTGTAGTCCCAGCTACTAAGGGGGCTGAAGCTGGAGGATTGATTGAGCCTGGGAGGTCAAGGTTGCAGTGACCTGTGATCATACCACTGTACTATAGTCTGAATGACAGAATGAGACCCTGTCTCAAAAATAAAAGAAAAGAAATTTTAATGACTTGTTTTTCTATATTTGATACAGGGAAACTACCCCTAGAATTGGAGATATCCTTCAGAAATTGGCACCATTTCTTAAGATGTATGGAGAATATGTGAAAGGATTTGATAACGCAATGGAATTGGTTAAGAACATGACAGAACGTATTCCCCAGTTCAAATCATTGGTTGAAGAAATTCAGGTAATAGGACTATTTCATTCAAAGCTATGAATTACTATTTCCATACAAATTATATAGTCTTCTATATCTAAAACTGAGATCTAGAGATCTGTCCGAGATACCTAGCAAAATGTATTCTACTCCAAATTATGCGGAGATCATCTTTGCAAAGCTGAAATGTATATAAGTCACATGCTGCATACTAAGCAATAACGTCTCCATTTGCTTTTGAGGCCAGCAGAGGATGATTTTTATTAGGGTCTACATAAATTTACAAAATGAGTTTCCTTTCAGGTCTGTGCCTCTCTTGCATTGTTTCAGTGGTTGAGTTGTTGAAAGGAATGTAAACGAATATAGAATGATTGCTGTAAACCCCAAGATTTTGGAAACTAACCATTCTTTTCTTTTGTCACTTGGTATCTGTATCCTCATTTTCTTCTGTTTCACCAAACCTAAATAATACACTTTAATAATACCATAATAATTTCCACTTGATTTTCTAGTCAAAATTATTAATATCATATTCTTTGATACAGTTTAAATATTGAAAAGGCATATTTTAGGTCATCTAAGATTCTTGGTGTGGGAATTCTGTTGTTCATTGACTGTCTTCTTTTGTGTGATATGAATTTTTTTAATTGTACCATTTTAATTCCTCTAATTGTCTAACTATTTTTTGAGTTATTTTACAGTGGTTGCTTTTAGGATTATAGTATGCATCTTAATTTTTCACAATGTACTTCAGATTATACTCACCTTAATTCTTGTAAAACATAGACGCTTTGTTCCAGTATATCTCTGTTCCCTCATCTGTGCTATTCGTGTCCTGTATATTAGTTTTTATATGTCGTGAGTCTATAATACAGTGCTATAGTTGTTAAGGAAGGGTATGAGAAAAAATGTACCTATAAGTCTATTTTATATTAACTTTTATATTTGCCCATTTTGGAGTAACTTTCTCTCAGCATAAGTAATTGTTGTTTCTTATAAAGCAGGCCAACTAGCAATGCATTCTGTCGGTCTTTGTTTGTCTGGGACTATGCTTATTTTTTCTTGACTTTTGAATGAGTGAAGAATGAAGTTCAGTTTTGCTAGATTCTGAATTCCTGGTATATGGGTTTTTCCTTTTTTATTTTTTATTTTGTTTTTATAATTTTTATTATTTTTTTAGAGACAAGGTCTTGCTCGTCACCCTAGCTAGAGTGCAGTGGCCCAGTCACAGCTCACTGCAACCTTGAACATCTGGGCTCAAGCAATCCTCCCACCTCAGCCTCTCAAGTAAGCTGGGACTGCAGGCGTGCGCTACCCCCCTTGGCTAAATTTTAGATTTTTTATAGAGACAGGGTCTTGCTATGTTGCCCAGGCTGGTCTTGAACACCTAGACTGGGCCTTCCAGAGTGCTGAGATTGCAGGCATAAGCCACTGCACTCCGCCAGGATATGGGGTTTTCCCCCAGGACTTTGAATATATCATTCTCCTGCTTTCGATCCTCTGTGGTTTCAGACAAGAAACCAGCCATTGATTGTATTGATACTCCCATGCATGTGATGAGTCACTTTTTTCTTGATGTTTTCAAGATTTTCTCTGTTTTTGGCTTTCACCAGTTCAAATATTATGTATCTGGGTGTGGACCTTTTTATATTTGTCCTAGTTAGGATTGGTTGACCTTTTTTAAAAAAAATCATTTTCAGAAGTTTTCGGCCATTATTTCTTCCAATATTTTCTGTCTTTTTCATTTTCTGTTTTTTGTTTAATCTTTTGACTTCCATTACACAAATTTTGGTGGGTTCCTTTTGTTTGTTTTAGAGATGGTGTCCTGCTATGTTGCCTAGGCTGACCTTGAATTCCTGGATTCAAGTGATCCTCCCAATCTTTCTTCTATTATTCAGATTCTTTAATTTCTACTAGTCTTTCTTCAAGTTCCCTGATTCTTCTCAAATCTGCTGTTGAATCTATAGTGAATTTTTCTTTTCAATTATTATATTTTTCACATCCACAACCACAACATCTAGCTAGTGGAGCTACTGGCTGTCACCACTCACCCACTTCAGGGATCTTCACTTCTACTGATGTTGTTGGGTGTGTGTGTTCCCCACCACTCCAAACTGAATGAGCCCTTTTCAGCCTCAGCAGAAGAGCCACTCAGCAGTCCTCATAGCCCATGCCACCCTGGAGGCCCCTTCGTAGTGACTGAGCTGGGAGAGGGATAGGAGCAGCCCCAGGCTAGAATGCCACAGATTCTCACCATCCTTACCCAAAGTTCAACAGTTTTTAAAGTGTAAACACATTCCAGATTGTTGCTTACCTTTTAATCAATTTCTAAGATGCTTATATTATTTTGTCAATTTTATCTAGCTTTATAGCTGCTTTTATTTTTTATTTTTCATTTTTTTGAAGGTAGAGCCTCGCTCTGTCACCCAAGCTGGAGTGCAGTGGCGTGATATTGACTCACTGCAACCTCTGCCTCCTGGGTTCAAGTGATTCTCAGGCATCAGCTTCCCAAGTAGCTGGGATTACAGGTGTGTGCCACTACACCCAGCTAATTTTTGTATTTTTAGTAGAGACAGGGTTTTTCCATGTTGGCCGGACTGGTCTCAAACTTCTGGCCTCAAATGATCCCCCCCACCTCGGCCTTCCAAAGTGCTGATGTTACAGGCATAAGTCACTGCACCTGGCCTATAAACTGCTTTTAACAGGGAGGATTTGTCAGTCTCTTCATTCAGCTATAGACAGAAGGCCTACCTCATCCCCTCCACTCCTTTTTTTTTTTTTTTAAACATTTTTTTCTTTTGTAATTAAACACTTGCCTACCTTACTGAATACTGGGCTCCTTCTTTGATTTTTACCAGCTTCTTTTGCTAATACTGAAATGTGGGCAGAGCACAAAGAGTTTGCCTTCTATGATCTTCTTTCTTTTCATACTTTTCATTCATATCCTATTCCCTCCTGCCTCTATCTTGCCAGATAGATTTCCTCTAGGGTTGCTGTTCTAGTCTAGTTCTCTACTCCCAACTCCAGGTACAAATGGCCAAGCATGTGAACATCTTGTCATCCAAACAAAGTCAACATTTTCCTTTCCTATTTTTAGCTCGCAAGCATTTTTCCATCTGACTTTTTAGGCCTTGCACAGAGTAGATAATTATTCTGATATGTATTGGATTTATTAGGTGACATCATTATCCTGTCATTCACCAGAGCTTGACAACATAGCTTTATCTTTGATTTGTTACATTTCTTCTTTCTCTGTATGTGTTCATTTGCCTGTGAAATAATGTATTTGAAGTGCTTACCATAGTGCTTGTTGCATAGTAATTGCTCACTAAATGATGGTGATGGTGGTAGTTACTGTCTTATCATACTCTGAATTCTGTCTCTGCAATGTCTGTCTTCACCATATTATGACAAAATGACATGGGTTGTGAAAACAGTCGTAGATAAGGAATCAACTAACCTAGTTTAGAATCCTAGTCTGCCACTTATAGTCACTTGACCTTAGAAAACGCTTCTAAATTATCAGAGCCACAGTTTCTTCATGTAAAATATTTGGTATCAGTAATGCTTTCCTTGATGTACATAATAGATTAGGGGAAAATCAAATGAGATATTTAAATTTATAGAATTAATATCTTAAATCTAAGGAAGAAAAGCTATTATTCTCTCAGTTTCTATGCCAATTTCAGGCCCTTATTACTTTCTTCCTGGTCTGTAATAACAACTTCCAAACTAGTTACCCACTGTCTCCCCAAAGCCACACTGCAGTAGGTTAATCTAATAGAGCTCAGATCTAATAATACAACTGTCATGCACAAAAATCTACATTAGATTAAAAAAAATCTAAACTCACCTTGACATCATGACCTCATATTGCCTTTATGTTACATCTTCCATTTCCTTCTACTTATCTTATTTGCCAAGAAAACCTCTCTGCTCCTTTCATTGAACATATTTCTTGCTTCATTACTGTGGTCCTCTTCTCAGGTTTCTCCTCCTGGGCTTGCTCCCTAGTCTGTCTTTCTCTCCAAAGCCTGTACTCATCAGAGGTTGTGTTAAATGTTCCCTTCTCTGTGAAGCCTTTAGTTACTTGTTTGCTTCAATTGCAAACACCATGTCTTAATATAGCTTTGATGCCTTGCAGTGCCCTGATCATGGTGTGAGTTCAGTATATATTTTAATGGGATTTCTTCTTTGTTTAACAGGAACAGGGACATTTCTTATTTTTTCCTCTCTTGTGTTAACAGCTTCTTGAAAGCAAGTGATACAGACTCAATTTTGCCCTAAGAAATGGAGCTCTATTTACACAAAATTTGGTTTCTAATGAAAAAGAATGCTTTGAACTAATGAAATAGTAAAATTTTCTGACAGATAAAAGATGCCCATATCTTGTTCTTCTATATGGAGTCTTTTTTAAGTCCAAAGGAAATGCTATTTATCATAGCCTTGCTATGAAATAGTTTCTGCTGAGTCCAAAGTCATTTAATTCAGTCGTTCTTAGCAGACCTTATTAAATAGGCACATCTTTTAAAAAATCTCTATAGAATGGTTTAATAATGTGACTTCACAAACCCTTGTAGTGACTAATTGAAGTGGTTGTCAGCAATCTGGAATTTTCTTGCTTAAAATTCTGCTTCATTTTTTTCCCCCTGTGTGCTTTTTTTTCTTTTTTTTTGAGATGAAGTCTCACTCTGTCACCCAGGATGGAGTGCAATGACATGATCTCGGCTCACTGCAACCTCTGCTCCCAGGTTCAAGCAATTCCCCTGCCTCAGCCTTCCGAGTAGCTGGGATTACAGGCGCATATTACCATGCCCGGCTCATTTTTGTATTTTTAGTAGAGTTGAGGTTTCACCATGTTAGCCAGGATGGTCTTGATCTCCTGACCTTGTGATCTACCAGTCTCAGCCTCCCAAAGTGCTGGGATTACAGGCGTGAGCCACAGTGCTTGGCCCCCACCTTTTCTGTTCTTAAACCAGATAGTCCTCAACTTCAATGTTATAGAAATATCGGGTGTTTTTAAATGTATATTCTCTAGCTGAGCATGGTGGCATGTGCCTATAGTCCCAGCTACTTGGAAAGCTGAGTCCTCCTTGGGAGGACCACTTGGATCGAGGAGGCAGAGGTTGCAGTGAGATCACACCACTGTATGCCTGGGCAACAGAGTGAGACTGCATCTCAAAAAAAGAAGAAAAAAATGCATATTCTCTATGTCCTTCCCCAAAGATTGTGATGTTATAGATTGAGGTGGGGTTCAGCAATCTGCTTTTTTTTTGAGACAGAGTCTCGTTCTGTCACCCAGGCTAAGTGGCACAATCTCGGCTCACTGAACCCCCTATCTCCTGGGTTCAAGTGATTCTCCTGCGTTCAAGTGATTCTCCTGCCTCAGCCTCCTGTGTAGCTGGGACTACAGGCACGTGCTACCACGCCTGGCTAATTTTTGTATTTTTAGTAGAGGTGGAGTTTTGCCATGTTGGCCAGATTGGTCTCGAACTCCTGACCTCAAGTGATCCACCCACCTCAGCCTCCTAAAGTGCTGGGATTACAGTTGTGAGACACTGCTCCCAGCCAGAAACCTGCATTCTAAACAGCAGCCCAGATATGTCTAATGCGGGTGATGGACAGTTACACTTTGTTGAAGAATATTGCCCTTGATGATAGTTCCGTTTTACAGTAAGCATCTAGACTTGATAACCTAACCTAATTTTTAAATGTTTCTTAGAAAACCTTTCTCATTACAGAAACAGAAAATCTGTGGGAGCTTAACTTTGCAGCATCACATGCTAGAACCTGTTCAGCGGATTCCCCGGTATGAGATGCTCCTTAAGGACTATCTAAGGAAATTGCCTCCTGATTCCCTGGACTGGAATGATGCTAAAAGTAAATGACATTTTTGTTTTCTCCCTATTACGGAATAATCAAGTGGCCAAGCAGCCTTATGGTTTCAAAGGGAAGTATATTTCACAGCTACTTGAGTCAAATGTTGCTATTAGAAGATAATTTCACTGGAAATTGTTATCAACACCTCAGTTAGGCAAGTCACTTTTGAGCCAAAATGACAAGTTTAGAGCAATCCAAATCACATTTCTTTTGCTGGTTTCATGTTAGTCAGTAGCTCTGAAATATAAAATTACAGTCTTAAAGACATCTAGAATAGCAATACACAATTTCCTTCTCAGAGGAAGAATACAACCATTCAGAATTACAAGTGCTGCTATTTAATTAGATAGGTTGGTGCATGCCAAGAAAGCTAAGGTGACATTTACTATGTAAAAATAACCTAAGCAGAGTTGGCTCTACCTGCCCTAACATTCCTACCATAACAGGAAATGGTGCTTTTTATTGTCCAATAACATTTTCTCCAAGAAAACTTTATTTCACTTCTATTAGATTATCTTATTTTTCATTAGATTATAATGAAAGGGTTTTGGTTGTGTTTTTGATGGAATCTTGCTCTGTCACCAGGCGGAGTGCAATGGCACAATCTCTGCTCACTGCAACCTCCGCCTCCCGGGTTTAAGGAATTCTCCTGCCTCAGCCTCCTGAATAGCTGGGATTACAGGCGCACGCCACCACGCCCAGCTAATTTTTGTATTTTTAGTAGAGATGGGGCTTCACCATGTTGGCCAGGATGGTCTCGATCTCTTGACTTCACAATCCACCAGCCTCGGCCTCCCAAAGTGCTGGGATTACAGGCATGAGCCACTGTGCCCGGCTGAAAGGGTTGTTTTTTTTTTTTGTTTTTTTTGTTTTTTTTGTTTTTAATTTTAATTTTTATTTTTTTTAAGGCTTATGAACTTCAATAATACTTTAGCTTTTTCATGCACTTTTACAAACCAACCAACTGTAAAGGCATGAATGAAAATTTAAGAAATAAGAATGGCTTGATATTCAACAAGCAGTAATGGTACTTGTGTATAACTTTAAAACATTGCTACTTTCCCTTATAATTTGTTTTCTGTCCTAAGTGAATCTTGATGAGAGATGAAGTACATAAAACATTATTTTTTGTCTTGGATTGTTAGCCTTTTCTTTTTTGTTTTTACTTTGAGACTAAGTCTCACTCTGTTGTCCAGGCTGGATTGCAGTAGCATGATCTCTGCTCACTGCAACCTCCGCCTCCCTGGCTCTCCCTGGTTCAAGCGATTCTCCTGCCTCGGCCTCCCGAGTAGCTCGCATTATAGGCACCTGCCACCATACCTGGCTAATTTTTTGTATTTTTAGTAGAGATGAGGTTTCACTGTCCTAGCCAGGACAGCCTCGATCTCCTGACCTCATGATCCTCCCACCTCGGCCTCCCGAAGTGCTGGGATTACTGGTGTGAGCCACTGCGCCCAGCTAGCCTTTTCTTTTTTTAATTATTATTATTTTGTTGAGAAAGAGTCTTACTCTGTTGCCCAGGCTGGAGTATAGTGATGTGATCTTGGCTCACTGCAGCCTCCACCTTCTGATTTCAAGCTATTCAGCTGATTTTTGTAATTTTAGTAGAAACGTGTTTTCTCGAACATCTGACCTCAGATGATCCACCCACCTCAGCTTCCCAAAGTGTTAGGATTACAGGCGTGAGCTACCGTGTCTGGCCCTGATCCTTAGCCTTTTTTTGAACACAAGCTGTTTCAGACATGTTTCTCCCACCATTTGAGTGACTCTGACCACAGAAACTTCTCTTCTCTGTTCGCCCTTTCCATACTATAGAATGAACTTGACTTCCCATTTGAAACCAACTACTTCCTAGGAACTCTGCACTATCTCCATTTTCTACCTATCTTGCCTGACTGCTTGATTTGAGTGGCAGATCTAGTGGTGGGTGTGGAGGTGGAAACAGCACTGCTCTTCCTCAAACTCATCTCTAGAGCCGTGGCTTTATCCCATCTTATTTTGTCTTCCTGGATCCTGGATCTTGTATCAAGTGCACAGCATTGCCCATATCAGAATAGTTCTTTAAAATGTAAATTAAAATTCCGTTTCTTCTATGCTCAGACTTTGGTATCCCCTTACATGCCTATATCAAAGATGAGGTAGTTGGTGACATGGTATGGCATTTTATTACTTTTTTTGTTTGTTTGTTTTTCCATTGCTACTTTCACTAAAATTCTAAGGAAATCGCATAAGAAGGGCCTTTGGTGACCTGAAAGTGGAAATGAAAGCAACAAAAGTGCATTCTGTCCAGCAGTGCATGGAAGACAAAAAAACGTAGTTGAAAAGTCTCAGGGTTGTTGTGGTAACAGAATTAGGCAGACCAGTATTCACAAAACAGAAAAGAAAGGACAAAAACAGGACGTGATTTGGATTGAGAGGTTTTCCCTGGGGCCAGTCCAGCAAGACACCTCTTCGCCAGCAGCCCCTGGAGCTCCTGTGATGTCCACACCAAAAAGTTCCCATTCCCACCTGCCCGAGCAACAAAACCCTCCAACACTGACCCCTTTCACCCAACCCAGGCTAGAACTGTGAATGTATTTTCCCAAAGAAAGTAGGCTGTGCTTAGTAGTTAATTTGCTCATACAATTAGTAAAATGCTTACTACTGCTGAAATATTTAAGAACTTTTGAGTCAGAAACCTGGGTTTAAGTATGGCCCTCCAATAGCATAGCTCTGTGACCTTAACGTAGTTGTATTACTTCCCCATTTCGTTCATCTGCCAAATGGAGCTAAAATACTTAATGATTTAAGGCTGTATAAGAATTGATACTGTAATAAAGTACCTAGTATGGAGTTGGTGTACACTGTAAATTTCAAAAACTTTGAGCATAGAAGAAACTGAATTTTTGTTTACATTTTGGAAAACTATTCTGATTTGGGCAGTTCTGTGCCCTCAATACAGGATCCAGGATAGAGGGAGACAAAATAAGTTGGGCTGGGGTCACCGCTCAAGAGATGAACTAAGGAAAAGCAGTGATGTTTCTCTCTCTCCTTATTAATTTTGATGATTCATTTTTTTTTTTTTTTTTTTGGGGGCAGAGTTTCGCTGTCGTTACCCAGGCTGGAGTGCAATGGCGCGATCTCAGCTCACCGCAACCTCCGCCTCCTGGGTTCAGGCAATTCTCCTGCCTCAACCTCCTGAGTGGCTGGGATTACAGGCACGCACCACCATGCCCAGCTAATTTTTTGTATTTTTAGTAGAGACGGGGTTTCACCGTGTTGACCAGGATGGTCTCGATCTCTTGACCTCATGATCCACCCGCCTCGGCCTCCCAAAGTGCTGGGATTACAGGCTTGAGCCACCGCGCCCGGCCAATTTTGATGATTCATTATGGATTAAACATGTGAGCCTAACCTTCATATATGACTTTTTATAAGGAAAGATGAAGTTTCAAGTAATCTGCTTACAAATGAACTTTAGAAACTATCCAATATATAAATGGAAAATGCCACTGTTTTTGTTGTATCTTTGGTCTCAGATTTTTGAGTAAGTTATTCAGCTATATAGAAGCACAGGAAGGACAAAGCATATTTATTTACTTTTCTTTTTTTCCCATGTAGAATCACTTGAAATTATATCTACAGCAGCAAGCCATTCTAATAGTGCAATAAGAAAAATGGTAAGTGGTTTTCAGAGGAGACAGGAACCTTCTGATTAGAAAATTGTCAGTAATACTGCCCAAATCTATGTAGATTTGGACCAAAGTGAATTGAAATAGATGAACCAAAAAGAATGCTTACAAAATGTTTAATGTTATCCGGAGTAACTCTCTGAACTTGGTAATAACTGATGCAATTTATATCAAAATATATGCTTACTCTCAGTCCCTTCTGAATTATATAGATTTTAGTTAAGCTCAGAGTATTATTAAAGCTACTAAGTTGAAACCTGCTTGTATGTGATCTTGCTGTTTTGTTTTCGTTTCCTAGGAGAACCTAAAGAAACTCTTAGAGATTTATGAAATGTTGGGTGAAGAAGAAGACATTGTAAACCCTTCAAATGAACTAATAAAAGAAGGACAGATCCTCAAACTAGCTGCTCGGAACACATCAGCACAAGAACGCTACCTTTTCTTAGTGAGTATTATACTGTTGGCAAGTCATATAAGAATTATATATAAAAATGTGGCTGGGCATGGTGGCCGACATCTGTAATCCCAGCATGGGAGGCCAAGGCAAGTGGATCACCAGAGATCAGGAGTTTGAGATCAATCTGGCCAACACAGCAAAACCCCATCTCTACTAAAAAATAGAAAAATCAGCTGAGTGTAGTGGTAGTTGCCTATAATCACAGCTACTCAAGAGGCTGAGGCAGGAGAATTGCATGAACCTGGGAGGTAGAGGTTGCAGTAAGCTGAGATCGTGCCACTGCACTCCAGTCTGAACAACAGAACAAGACTCCATCTGAAAAAAAAAGGAATTATATATAAAAATAGTTGTATACAGATTGGAAAAGCAGAAGGTTGCCTTATTCACCAAAGCAATTACAGCTAACTTGGCTTAGTCAACAATGTCTGGATTCCATTTAGGGAAGTATTCTAAGTAACGTATTTTTTGTAATTTTTCTGTGTACTTGGTATGGAAGGCAGGCAGCAGTGACCCACCTGGAGTGGTTGCTGCAACAATACTGGCTGCAGTGAGGGAGGCATGGCCAGGGCAGCTATTCAGCTGCAGCTGCCGAGCTAGGTGTTCCTATACTCTCGGGGGCCCAGAAAGCCCCCTGTACACTTGCAGGCTCAAAAGTGCCTGCTCCCATTGCCTAGCCTTTCCCCACTCCCAATACCTGTTCCAATTTCAGAGCAAAGTTGGGGCCAAGCCTGGGTGGTATTGCAAACTGGCAGGGTGTGCACACACTTGGGACAGTGCTGATATGCCAGCCCCCTCGTGCCCCTCAGTCCCCTTTAGACTCTGAGTGCCAACAAGCACAGGAGGGAGGCCAAGGGGTGCTAAGGGTGGCTCAGTGTGGGCCTGTGGGCACCTTTTGGCACAAACAGCCTGGGCATTGAGGATGGCAGGTTGATGGCAGCTGGAGGCAGACAGGCTCCTGGTTGGAAAGAGGCAGGTCTGCAGTGCAGCCCGCCTTCAGCCCTGGGACAGCCTGAAGCCTGGGGGCCGGGCTGCCAGTTCCGTGGACCAGAGTGAGAACTTGGTGCATTTTCCAGGCCTGCCCATGGCTGCCCATAGACCAATCGGCATGTACTTCCTCTCCTGTGAAGCAAATAAAAACCCTGGACTCAGTCAGACTCTGGCAGATGTTGGGATGACCTGCCAGTGGAGAGGAGCTACCCACTGTAGGTCTCAGCTGAGAGCTAAGCAGATGTCGGGACAGCCTGCCTGCGCAAAGGAGCTGTCCACTTCAGGTCTCTGGAGAGCTGTGCTGTCGCTCAAGAAACCACCTCTTCACCTTACCCTCCAGTTGTCCACATACTTCATTCTTCCTGGATGTGAGATAAGAACTCGGGACCCACTGAATGGCAGGACTGAAAGAGCTGTAACACAAACAGGGCTGAAACATGCCCCCACTCACCATGTTATAGGCAATAAGAAAGAGAGAAGGAGAGAAGAGCTGCCAACCTTTGTGGAGCCCAGACCTAGGAACTCCCTGAGCCAGGGATATACCACCCTGTTTGGGGCTCTGTTTCCTGGTATCTCCAAGCTTCCAGGCATCACCACCTTTGCCAGTGCCAGCAGTGGAAGCTGCTTGCAATGTACTTGGTCCAGCCACAGCTTTGCAGGGAGCCAGCACCCATGCTGGTGCCTGGAGCTGCTCCCCTTAGCTGAGCATAATGTATGCCCCTGTAGTCCCAGCTACTTGGGAGGCTGAGGCAGGGGAATTGCTTTAACCCAGGAGGCAGAGGTTAAAGTGAGCCAAGATCACGCCACTGTACTCCAGCCTGGCGATAGAGCAAGACTCTCTCTCAAAAAATAATAATAATAATAAATAAATAAAGACATCAGTTTGAAAAGAGCCCCTGTCAAAGCTTAATAAACATTAGCTTTCATTCTGATTGTTATTAGAGAAACAGACACATGGGTGAAAAGGCTGCCTGGCGAATGGCACACAGTACATTCTTAGGATGTTATTCATGTCTGACTTTTCTGCTGCGAGGCAGTCATCTCCCCCAACATAGCGTGAGTTGTCATGGGGGCCTAGAGGCTTCTGTGTCTGTTTTCAGCCTCCATTGAAAGGAAAACTTAAGAACTAATTGTCGGGCAGAGAGGGGTGTTCAGTACAAGGGGTCTTGAAAAGGTCATGGAAAATGCATATTATGAAAAAACTATGCATGGATTTCAAAGCTTTTTTGCAACAAAATAAACCCGTACTAAGTTGTTATAACATGACTGAACAGTATCTGGTTTGAGGCACTAAGAAGGGTAAGACATCAGTTTGAGGCCTGGCACAGTGGCTCATACCTGTAATACCAGGACTTTGGAAAGTCAAGACAGGAAGATGCCTTGAGCTTAGGAGTTCAAGACCAACCTGGGCAATATACAGAGACTACCCTGTCTCTACAAAAAGCTTAAAAATTAACTGGGCATGGTAGCATGCACCTGTAGTCCTAGCTACTTGAGAGGCGAGGCAGGAGAAGCTCTTGAGCCAGAGTTCCAAGACTGCAGTGAGCTATGATCATACTACCCAGCCTGGGTGACAGAGCGAGACCCTGTCTCAGAAAAATAAATAAATAAATAATAGGCTGGGCACAGTGGCTCATGCCTGTAATCTCAGCACTTTGGGAGGCCAAGGTGGGCAGATCACAGGGTCAGGAGATCCAGACCATCCTGGCCAACATGGTGAAACCCCTTCCCTACTAAAATACAAAAAATTGGCCAGGTGTGGTGGTACGCGCCTGTAGCCCCAGCTACTTAGGAGGCTGAGGCAGGGGAATCGTTTCAACGCAGGAGCCAGAGGTTGCAATGAGCCAAGATCACATTACTGTACTCCAGTCTGGTGACAGAACAAGACTCCATCTATAAATAAATAAATAAATAAAATAAGTTTGAAAAGAGCCCCTGTCAAAGCAACATGAATTCGGTTAAAATTGAAGCAAGAACAAACATCAAACATATGGCGAAGCTTGGATGCAAAAATGGTGAAATAATTGATGCTTCATGAAAAGTTTATGGAGACAGTGCCACGAAGAAATGAGCAGTTTACAAATGGGTAACTGATTTTAAGAAGGTACGAGACATTGTTGAAGATGAAACCTGCAGCAGCAGACCATCCACATCCTTTCACTAGGAAAAAATTCATCTTGCTCCTGCCCCAATTGAAGAGGACTGACAGTTAACAGCAGAAGCAGTAGCCAATACCACAGACATCTCAATTGGGTTCATCTTGCACAATTCTGACTGAAAAATTAAAGTTGAGCAACTTTCCACTCAATGGGTGCCAAAAATGTTGCACCCAGATCAGCTGCAGGCAAGAGCAGAAATTTTGGTGGAAATTTTAAATAAGTGGCATAAAGCTTCTAAAGCATTTCTACAACAAATTGTAATAGGAGATGAAACATGGCTTTCCCAGTACAATCCCGAAGACAAAACACAATCAGACCAATGGTTACCAACAGGTACAAGTGATCCAGTCAAAATGAAAGAGGTCTAGTCAAGAGCAAAGGTTGTGGCAAAGGTTTTTTGGGATGCTCAAGGCAATAAGCCCGTTGATTTTCTTGAGGGCGAAAGAACAATAACATCTGCTTATTTTGAGAGTATTTTGAGAAAGCTAGCCAAAGATTTTAGCAGAAAAACACCCAGGGGAACTTCTCCAAAGAGTCCTTCTAAACCATGACAATGTTCTTGCTCATTATTCTTATCAAACAAGGGCAATTTTTTGAGAGTTTTGACAGAGAATCATTAGGCATACACCTTACTGTCCTGATTTGGCTCCTCTTCTTTTTGTTTCGTGATCTTAAAGAATCTGTAAAGGACTCACATTTTTCTTCAGTTAATAGTGTAAAAACTACTGCATTGCCATGGTAAAATTCTCAGGGCCCAGGGCTGGACGCAGTGGCTCACACTTTTAATCCCAGCACTTAGGGAGGCTGCGGCAGGCAGATCACAAGGTCAGGAGTTCAAGACCAGCCTCACCCAATATGGTGCAACCTCGTCTCTACTAAAAATAGCAAAATTAGCCAGGTGTGGTGGTATGCGCCTGTAATTCCAGCTACTCAGGAGGCTGAGGCAGGAGAATCGCTTGAACCCAGGAGGCAGAGGTTGCAGTGAGCTAAGATTGCACCACTGCACTCCAGCCTGGGCAACAGAGTGAGACTCCATCAAAAAAATAAATAAATAAAATTCTCAGGACCCTCAGTTCTTTAGGGTGGACTGAATGGCTGCTATCATTGATTACAGAATTGAACTTGGTAGAACTTAGGTCAAAATAAAATATGTTTCTTTTAATTTCATTTCTCCACAAACTTTTAAAAGTCTTTTTCTATCAGTCATGTTTTTAAAATAACATTTGGTTGTTTTATGACCCAGCAGTTCTACTCCAAGTTTGTATAACTCAAGAAAATTGAAAACACGTGTCTGCACAAAAACTTGCACGTTTGTCCAAAACAGCATTATTCATAATAGCCAAAAAGTTGAGACGACCTAAATGTCCCTCAACTGAATAGGTAAACAAAATGTGGTATGGTCATGCAATGAAATATTATATGTCAAGAAAAAGGAATAAAAACTTACATATGCTACATGGATTAACCTTAAAATGTGTCAAGTGAAACATGCCTGTTACAGCAGACCACGTACAGTATGGCTTCACTTATGTGAAACATGCAGAAGAGGCAAATGTGTAGAGACAGGATGTAATTAGTGGTTCCCTAAGACTAGTGGGGAATGGGAAATGGGTATGAGGTTTCCTTTCAGAGGCATAAAATGTTCTGGAATTGGTGATAGTTGCCCAATTTACAACTATCCTAAAAACCATGATTTGTACATTTTAAAAGAGTAAATTGGCCAGATGCAGTAATCCCAGCACTTTGGGAGGCCAAGGTGGGTGGATCAGCTGAGGTCAGGAGTTTGAGACCAGCCTGGCCAATATGGTGAAACCCCATCTCTACTAAAAATAAAAAAGGTTAGCCAGGCATGGTGCTGCAGGCCTGTAGTCCCAGCTACTCGGGAGGCTGAGGCAGGAGAATCGTTTGAACCCAGGAGGCGGAGGTCGCAGTGAGCTGAAATTGTGCCATGCACTCCAGCCTGGCCAACAGAGCGAGACTCTGTCTCAAAAAAAATAAATAAATAAAAATAAATTTTATGGCATCTGAATATCTTCATAATTTAAACGTGTATTTTTACCAGATTATAAAAATTCTCATTTGTGCTAAACAGAAGTACTTCTTTCAGAGGTAATACAGAAAGCTAAGTAGAAAACAAAGAGGTGTCATGTTAGGGTTCAGAGTCCTCTTCAGGGGTCTATTACAAAAGATCAGCTGATTGCCATCGGAAAGGCAAATCAGGGTGGGGTGGGGGTATGGTATATGAATTGAGAGGGCAGTGGGGAAGCACCAGCATCAGTCAGGAGGCAGAGGAGCAGGCAGAAAACGTGGGCAAGAGCCTTTATTGTGGTTTCTGCAGGAAGGAATGGGCAAAACAGAGCACCCAGGTGAGGATTGGGTAGTTCGAATAATTTCTTTAGGGCCTAGGGCCTGTTGTCCTGGCCCTGAGTTGATTAGGGCAGGAGAATAGTGGCCCAGAGAGTAAGTGTTCAATACAGGAGGTGACTGCGGGTGTGGGTTCTGAATTGGTTGGTTTCTACATGATAGGCGTGCTGTTCTCTCTAGGAATTGGGTATCCCTGGGAGTGGTAGTCCTGTCAGAGTCAAAAAGGCCTAAGATGCCCAAAATCAAAAATACATAATAAAAAGACATGCCTAATACAGTGTTCTAGGTAACATAACCAGGAGTCAATGTCTTTCTTCTTTCTATGCCTTTAGGTGCTTTCTCCTCTTCCTTATTAATGGGCAGCCTCTGTAGTTAAACTTTGAGCTCGGGTTTAACCAATTGCCTGGGCTTAATTCTCACATCTGGGAGTTACTTTGGAAAGAGGTTTATGTTGAATATTTTGATGCAGAGCTGAATGAAACAGCTCTTTGGAGGATGGGTGGCTAAGAACCTTGGGAAAAGTGGCAGTCAGTGACTGAGGAAAAGACCCATCCTGTTTCACTTACTTTTTTTTTTTTTTTTTTTTTTTTTGAAAAAGTCTCCCTCTTGTTCCCCAGGCTGGAGTGCAATGGCACGATTTCAGCTCACTGCAATCTCTGTTCAAGCCATTCTTCTGCCTTAACCTCCCAAGGAGCTGGGATTACAGGCACCTGCCACCACGCCTGGCTAATTTTTGCATTTTTAGTAGAGACAGGTTTTCACCATGTTGGCCAGGCTGGTCTCGAACTCCTGACCTGCCACCCACCTCAGCCTCCCAAAGTGCTGGGATTACAGGCGTGAGTCACCTCGCTTGCCCGTTCCAGTTACTTTAGGCCATCAAACATAACATGCCATTGCCTCCCAGTAGAATGGGGTCATGTGGCAGGAATTTTAGGAAAGCCACATGCATTCTTTGAAGACTATCTTAGAAACATTTCCAGTGTCACGTTGGCTCTTTTCCTCCACCCTCTCCAGTGCTGTGCTTGTCACAGAATCCTGCCTTGCCAGTGCACATTTATTCCCATGGAGCCTCTTGTTCTTACTTGTAGAAACTTCAGAAGCACGATTTTTCTTTTCTTTTCTCTCTGGAAGGGTAATGAGGGCTAGTTTTCTGTTTCCTATCCTTGGGATATTACATTTGTCTGGAAAACCAGACTATATTTAGAATCTGCTATCTGCTTTTAAATGATCTTCATGTGTTTGCGTATTTGCTTGCGTCTACACCATACTTTTTCATTGTTAATGTTAAGTAGGATTCTGTTTAATGTAAGCCATTTCATGTTGCTGTCACAGAACACCTGAGACTGGCTAATTTATAAAGAACAGGAATTTATTTTCTGCAGTTCTGGAGGCTGGGAAGTTCAAGATTGAGGGGCTGGCATCTGGTGAGGGCCCTCTTACTGCATCGTAACATACAGAAGGCATCACATGATGAGAGAGAGAGCAAGAAATCCAACTCATGGCCTCAAGCCCTTTTTTAATCTGCATTAATCCATTCATAGATTAATTCATAGTTTAGTGGAGCCCTCATGATCCAAACAGTTACCATTAGGCCTCACCTGCCAGCACTTCTGCATGAGGGATTAAGTTTCCAACACATACTTTTTATAGGGCACATTCAAACTATAGCAGGTACTCTGTTGAAATAAACTACCTGACATCTGAAAGTTTAAAAAAAAAAAAATCACCACATTATCCCACAAAACAATCCAAAACTTTTTATCCTTGGCCCTTTGGAGTTGTTCTGTTCCTTATTTCCTTGTAACTTGATAGATTCCGATTATTTTTCCCTTAACTTATTTAATCTTGAACACAGAGCAAGCACAAGAAATTTTCTCCACCAATATCCTATTACCTTTGAAAACAAACATGAATTGAAATTGTCACTGGTGAGAAAATGAAATTGAATTATTTCAGTCAAATATATTTTTAGAGGCTTGAAATAAAAGTACTTGAACAGTAGAGATCAAGAAAGAGGACCCTCCCTGTGTTTTTAATAATATTGAGGCTTGTGGTTTTTATCACAACCTAGGACTTCTGGAAATTGCTTCGCTAGTCTGAGATTGCTTCACTGATCACTACTTCTAAGCTATGGGTTTGAAATAAAAGGGAATCTCCTACCCTCTAAGGGAAAGTCAATGTTCTTCATGCCATAGTTGCTATAACTTCTTTTTTCAATATCAAGGGAAACCCAGAGGGAAGTAATTATTTGTGAAAGGTGGTGGTGGCTTTTGCTATGAGCACAAGTTTCATGGAGGAAACAGAACTAGCTACTTAGTTGCTTCCTGTATATGACCTCATCATCTTTGTAAGCAATGTTTTATATTCTGCAAGAGCTCCTACCTTCACCTATGCAAAAAGGAAAAGGATATTCATTGACTAGCATTGGATTGTGATCAGAACTATTTAAGATTAACATAGAATTATTGAGCAGGGCATGGTGGCTCACGCCTGTAATCCTAGCACGTTGGGAGCCCGAGGCAGGTGAATCATGATGTCAGGAGTTCAAAACCAGCCTGGCCAATATGGTGAAACCTCGACCCTACTAAAAATATAAAAAATTAGCCAGGCATGGTAATGCACGCCTGTTGTCCCAGTTACTCAGGAGGCTGAGGCAGGAGAATCGCTTGAATCCGGGAGACAAAGGTTGCAGTGAGCTGAGATCACGCCACTTCACTCCAGCCTGGGTTACAAAGTAAGACTCTGTCTCAAAAAAAAGAAAAGATTAATATAGAATTATTGACAGTTTAGAATGTGAAGTCCAATTTAGGGAGAATATAAGGGAGGGAATGCAGTCCTGAAAGCATGAACGGGAAGGAGAAAAATACACATTTATTAGATAATCTGTCATGTGAGCATAACACAAATGGCAAATGCTAAGAGCCTCCATATTTGTGCACTTGTTTCTGCAAAACAGCATGAGTGCTGAACTTTAGAAAGCCGGCTTGAGGACAAGTAGCAGATAACTCACAAATTTTATGCTATACCATTACATTTGTCACTCAGTTTGCAGGAACAATTTGGTTATTGTTGGTGGCTGGAATGTGTGACCTCTATCCCTTGTGCTGGTGACTCTGTAGCTCCTGCAACATTCACAGCTTCAACCAAATATCCTCCTCAGAAAGCTTTGATAGAAGAGAGAGAAGTGTTGACAAGAACACTTAGCAAGCAAGCTGTTGCCTTAATCAAACTAGGATATGGATGGTGATAAAAAAACCTCTTGGAAGTTTTTTTCAGATCTCTAAAATCTATGTAAAATGCGGGTGTCATCATCATTCTCAGATGACAGTAGACAGTTAGTGATAAAGGCCTACATCCCAAGAGGATATATTTGAGAGGCCGAGATGGAGGATCACTTCAGCCCAGGAATTCAAGACCAACCTGGGCAGCATAGCAAGACCCCATCTCTATTTAAGAAAAAAAGAAGGCTCTGTCTATTTTTTCCAGAATACAGGTTATATCTTGGGATATATCTATAATGTATTTAGTGATCATTTATTTCTACATTCTCCAGTGTGGAACTGAAATTTATAACACTGGCTACAGGAAGTTACAAAATGCGAAAACAACTGGCGAGAAACAAACTTCCAGAATGACTATTACATAACGTCACATAAACTTGTTGGAAGGTTTTACATACCCGTCGACCTTGTCTTCATAGCAATCTGGAGCTGAACAGAGGGCCTAGAAAGGACAGATCTAGACTCAAGTCCCAAGGAGAATAAAATGAGAAGGCTTGTTGAATTTAAGCACTTATTCTGTGCAAAGCACTGTTCTAAACATTTCACATTTGTTTCATTTAATCTCAGCAAGCTGTGACTTTTACAGATAATGACCTTGAGGCATGAGGGTTTACACAGCTCATAAAGGGTAGGGTGGAGGCTTGGTGCTTCCAGTCTGGCTTCAGAGCCTCTGCTAATAATAGTACTTAGCTGAAAGTAAAATTTTAGAGAAAATTTGAAGAATTAGTAAATTGAGAAATCTTGATGAAGGAAGTAAAATAAAATCATGTTGAGTTTAGCCCACATGGTATTGGGAAAGTAAATTTTAAAACATAATTTTATTCTCTAATTGCTCTTGTCGTAGAAAACATATGTAACCATGGGAAAAAAAAATATATATGTAACCCTAGAAAAAACTTGAGAAACACTAAATATGAAGAAAGAAGATAAATATAGACCTTCTCTTAGGAATCTGTCCTCAAATTAACACAGATATTTAGGGTTTTATTTCTTTCCATGTTTTAACATATTCAGAAATGAATTAAATGCTTTTATAAAGTCATTGAATGTGAATTTCTATCGTGTCAGCCTTCTAACATACCATTTTTCATGCAATTAATAGCCGTTGCTTTTTTTTTTTTTTTTTTTTTTTTTTTTGCGCGATGGAGTCCACTCTGTCACCCAGGCTGGAGTACAGTGGTGTGATCTTGGTTCAAGAAACCTCTGCCTCCCTGGCTCAAGGGATCCCACCTTAGCCTCCTGAGTAGCTGGGACCATATGCACACGCTACCACACCAGGCCAAGTTTTGTATTTTTTTGTAGAGATGGGGTTTCACCATTTGGCCAGGCTGGTCTCAAACTCCTGGCCTCAAGTGGTCCACCCATCTGGGCCTCCCAAAGTGCTGGGATTACAGGTGTGAGCCACCTCACCTGGCCAGCAAGGGGTGTTCATTGTTAACTAGAAATTAGGGACTGTACATAATTTGATTCAGTTTCAAAATGATAGTATTCATTTTAAAAGTACATCTTGTAAAGAATAAGACTCTGCCTTTAAAAACCTCTAATAAAACTGATGGCTTTTCAGCAAATTCATATGTGGTAAATTCTTATGCAAGACTTAAGGATTCATAATACTGTTCAAGAGTACTGTGTGATCATAGAGACCTTGGCCCTATGGCTTGCTTTTTATGTAGAATTTAATGTCTAAACCCCACATGTTCTAATGTGATTTGAATTAATAAATTGGCTATTTTTAAAAAGCTTAACATTAAACACTCTAGTAAAAAAAAAAAAATTGCTGACCAGGTGTTATGTCTCATATTATAATCCCAACATTTCAGGAGGCTGAGGTGGGAGTATCATTTGAGGCCAGGAGTTAAAGACAAGCCTGGGCTATTGTATTATCAACAGTAGCCTAGGCTGGTCTTTAAAGCCCATCAATGATAGACTGGACAAGGAAAATATGGCACAGATACACCATGGAATACTATGCAGCCATAAAAAATGATGAGTTCATATCCTTTGTAGGGACGTGGATGAACCTGGAAACCATCATTCTCAGCAAACTGACACAAGAACAGAAAATCAAATACCACGTGTTCTCACTCATAGGCAGGTGTTGAACAATGAGAACACATGGATACAGGGAGGGGAGCATCACACACTGGGGTCTGTTGTGGGGGTAGGGGAGGGACATCGGCGGGGGGAGGTTGGGGGGAGATAATATGGGGAGAAATGCCAGATATAGGTGACGGGGGAATGGAGGCAGCAAACCACATTGCCATGTGTGTACCTGTGCAACAATCCTGCATGATCTGCACATGTACCCCAGAACCTAAAGTAGAATTTTTTTTAAAAAATCATTTTCTTTAAATTAAAAAATAAAAAAGAAAGACCAGCCTGGGCAACATAGCTAGACCATGCATCTACAAAAAAAAATTTTTAATTGAGGCTGGGTGTGGTGGCTTACCTCTGTAATCGCAGCATTTTGGGAGGCCGAGGCAGGAGGATTGCTTGAGTTCAGGAGTTCAAGACCAGCCTGGGCAACATAGTGAGAGCTCGTCTCAACTAAGAAAAACTACCTAGGCATGGTGGTGTGTTTCTATAGTCCCACCTACTCAGAAAGCTGAGGTAGAAGGATGGCTTGAATACAGGAGTTAGAGACTGCGGTGAGCTATGATTGGACCACTGCACTGCAGCCTAGGTGGTAGAGTTAAACCCTGTCTCAAATATAATAATAATTGCTAAATATTACTTTCTTATTCTAACACCTATTAGATTTGCCCTCTAAGATACATCAATGAGAAATTCTTGTGTTTAAGAACTTACAAAGTTAAGAACTTAAGCTCCTGGTATATCAAACAAAGGTCCTTAGTAATTTGTTATGAATTTATTGAACTAATTTATTTGGTGCAGTAGTATAAATTATTGAGCCATGAGTGGGAAATACATTTTTCAAAATGTAAGAATATGATTTTTTATACAACATATAACCTCAATGTCTTAGTAAATAATTTTGCTCGTGCAGGAAGTACTGTGTTCTCTAGAAATTACTTGGAATTTTTGTCTAGGGCTACTTTTAAAATTGGTCAGTTTCCCCTATTTATTTTCTTTACTGATATGTGTTCTCCTTCTTTGCAGTTCAACAACATGTTGCTGTACTGTGTGCCCAGATTCAGCTTGGTAGGCTCTAAATTCACAGTTCGAACCAGGGTTGGCATTGATGGAATGAAAATTGTGGAGACTCAAAATGAAGAATATCCACATACTTTCCAGGTATCTGGGAAAGAGAGAACACTGGAACTGCAGGCCAGGTGAGGCAACCATTTCTATCACACTGCTTTCCCAAAGCATCAGAATGAATCATTAGAATAGAATTTCTCTGAGGGTTTTTCCCAAGTGAATGCTGCAGATCTCTGGGAATCTGGTTGGATGTAAATGCAGAGCTGTAAGTTCTTGAAAAGCAGGAGTCATGTCTCCTGTCTCTTGATACCTTCCTTCATAGTGCCTAGGACAGTAGTTTGTAGATGGTAAGCATTGAGTAAATTGATTAACTCTAATCCTTCCTCTAACCGTCCTTTCGGTCCACAAATGTTTATTGATGCTTATTATTCCATGCTAATCTCTGAGTCCTTCAGAGAGTCTACATTTTAGGAGCTACGGGGCACTTGAATGGAAAGAAATGTTGGTAAGGGGCAGGGTGGTAAGGGTAAAACTTCTCCCACCATAGTTGCAGGATGCATGAAGGGAGCCATTAGGGGCTCAGGTGGCCTCTGGCAACCAGGACTTCTGGAAGGCATGGCTCTTGTTGTATTTTTATTGATTGGCAGAGAAAGGGCGAGAGTTCTGGCCAGCATTCCCCTAACTATAACCATGTTCTTTTTCTGTTTCTTTTTGAGACGGAGTTTCGCTCATGTTGCCCAGACTGGAATGCAATGTCACCATCTTGGCTCACTGCAACTTCCGCCTCCTGGGTTCAAGCAATTCTCCTACTTCAGCCTCCTGAGTAGCTGGGATTACAGGCACCACCCACCACCACCCCCAGATAATTTTTGTATTTTTAGTAGAGACGGGGTTTCACCACGTTGGCCAGGCTGGTCTCGAACTTCTGACCTCAGGTGATCTGCCTGCCTCAGCCTCCCAAAGTGCTGGGATTACAGGCATGTCTGGCCCATAAACATTTTTTAAAGGATTAAAAAACCTCATGAGAACCGCTGCAGTTGATCATAGCTACCTCATGCATGAACCTCTGGAATATAGAGTGCTGTCAGGTTTTGAAATACCTGCTTTAGAAATAGTCATCCAGGCTGGGCGCGATGGTTCCTGCCTGTAATCCCAGCACTTTGGGAGGCTGAGGTGGGAGGATGACTTGAGGTCAAGAGTTCAAGATCAGCCTGGCCAACATGGCAAAACCCCATCTTTGCTAAAACGACAAAAATTAGCCACGCATGGTGGTGGATGCTTGTAATCCCGGCTACTTGGGAGGCTGAGGCAGGAGAATCGTTTGAACCCGGGAGTTGGAGGTTGCAGTGAGCTGACATCCCGCCACTGCACTCCAGCCTGGGCAACAGAGCAAGATCTGTCTCAAAAACATACAGTCATCTATTTATTCAAATGTCTAGGCTGGTAAAAATTTGGATGCTTTAGAAGATCACAGAGCAGAGGGTGAAGAACCAATCCTAGCTCTAGTGGGGTTAATACCCCAGAATCCATGAAGACTCAGAATGTTCTTCAGATCTTTTCCACCATTAGCTGATGTTTCTGGCTGCTCAGATGAATTACTTCTGGATATTTGTATTTAGTAACTGCCAAAGCTTAAATTTCAGCTTTTAAAAAGAGAACAAATCTTTTTTTTTTTTTTTTTTTTTTTGTTTGTTTGGTTTTTTTGAGACGGAGTTTCACTCCCGTTACCCAGGCTGGAGTGCAATGGCGTGGTCTCGGCTCACTGCAACCTCCGTCTCCTGGGTTCAGGCAATTCTCCTGCCTCAGCCTCCTGAGTAGCTGGGATTACAGGCACGCGCCACCATGCCCAGCTAATTTTTTGTATTTTTAGTAGAGACGGGGTTTCACCATGTTGACCAGGATGGTCTCGATCTCTTGACCTCGTGATCCACCCGCCTCGGCCTCCCAAAGTGCTGGGATTACAGGCGTGAGCCACCGCGCCCAGCCCGAGAACAAATCATTTTAACAGGAATCTGTGCCCAGGGAATCCAAGAATTGGTGAATTTATAGTTATGGAAGGTGGCAGGCTGGGAAGGTTTGAAGAAACAGCCAGTTCTTTGATTTCCCACAGAGAATATATATTGAACTTCCTTTTCCTTAGGGAGCAGGTAGCATTTCAGACTTGGCTTTGAATGTCATAGTTTTCCTACCTCCTCATGGTGGGATTGGGTCCCAGCCCCTCAAACCCAAGGGAAGAATATATGATGCTATGCTGAAGGCTCTTGACTGAGTCCTCACTCAGTGGTTGATTTACTGAGATACTGGTCCTGGCAACAGGGAACACTCATCAATAGTTTGTTTTTTGGTTTTTTTTTTTTTTTTTGACAGAATGTTGCTCTGTTGCCCAGGCTGGAGTGCAGTGATGTGATCTTGGCTCACTGCAACCTCCATGCCACAGGTTCAGTCAATTCTCGTGCCTCAGCCTCCTGAGTAGCTGGGATTATAGGCGCCTGTCAACAAGCCCAGCTAACTTTTTTTAGAAGAGACGGGGTTTTGACATTTTGGCTAGGCTAGTCTCAAACTCCTGACCTGAGGCAACCACCCTCCTTGGCCTCCCAAACTGCTGTGATTACAGGCGTGAGCTACTGCGCCCAACCTCATCAGTAGTTCTGATCATCACAGTTTTCATTGCCGAAGAATGAAGGCATTGCTGACTCTCAAATTTCAGCACACTTCCAAACTGCAAATTCAAGAGATGTGTCTAACCACAGGGAAGATATTTCTGAGGTTTCTTAGTTTGTCTAAATGGATACTTTCAGTCCTTCTTTAGCCGGTAGGGCTATTTTCTCATCAAGATGGGGCTAATTGGTGAGGAATTTTCTTAAGCACAGGTAGTCATCACTTTATAACATTCCAACACACGGTACTGGATACCTTCCAATTTGTGTTAGAAACATGGTTGTTCTGTCTTAAATTTCTCACTTACCTAATCTCATTGCTCTAGTTATATTTATGTTTGTATGGTGATTTTGAAGGTCCGAATTAAGTGATTACTTTCAGTATGATCTATCATGCTCTCTCTTTTTTTTTTTTTTTTTTTTTGAAACGAAGTTTTACTCTTGTAGCCCAGGCTGGAGTGCAATGGCACGATCTTGGCTCATTGCAACCTCTGCCTCCTTTATTCAAGCAATCCTCCTGCCTCAGCCTTCCAGAATAGCTGGGATTACAGGCACGTGCCGCCATACCTGGCTAATTTTTTATTTTTAGTAGAGACGGGGTTTCACCATGTTGGCCAGGCTGGTGTCAGACTCCTGAACTCCGGTGATCCGCCCACCTTGGCCTCCCAAAGTGCTGGGATTACAGGCGTGAGCCACCGTGCTCGGCCTATCATGCTCTTTTAAGAATGGGACAAACACTGAAGTTCCAAGAAAGCCAGAATGTCAGAGAAAGTATGTGGAATCAAAAATTGGGCATATATTTGGAGATATTTAAAGAGTATTTGATTCTGAAGCTAACTAGGGAAAAAAGATTTCACTTTTCTTGCTAAGGTATGAGTCAGCCTCAAGACTGAACTTGTACATTTGTGTTTCTTCTACTTTTAAAAAGAAAAAGTATTCTATTTTAGATACAGAATACTATTATGGTTTTCTATTGCTAAGTGGAAATAAAAGTATAGTAATAAGTAAACTAAAGAGGGAAGAAATCTACCTAAAACAAAAAGCAATAAGAAATTGTTGGGGTCTCTGCATTTGAAGGGCTAAAAGCAGCTGGCAAGTAACTGTGCTTCCAGGGCCATAGAGCTGTGGAGCAAGGCAGAGCAGTAGGGAGAGTTTTTTAAATTTTTTTAATTTTTAATTTTGAGAAGCAAGATTGAAGCCCCAGCTGAACAATAAGCAGAAGCTTCCACTTGGCAGACACAGATTCCAGCAGCATTCCTGGCGCATCATGGTGTTCAATAATCAATTTGCTGGAAAGATAGATTGTGACACAGAAACAGTCCTCCAACCAGTCTCATGCATATTTCATACCTGTGGGAATCAGGCAGGTAACCTTCAGGCTGGAACTGAAACTAAGCCCCTCTACCAGGCACATGCAAACAGACAGAGCAGACTCTGATCCTCTTCAAAATTCTTCAATTTGGAGATTGTACCCAGTTTAGAGTCCACTAAAAAAGGATTTTTCAAATGCGGCGTGTGACAGCAGACAGCAGCATAAGCTACCTGCAACAAAGAGGAAATGAAGTTTGGTTTATAGGAAAAGGGGAACCTGACTACAGTCGAGGAAATGTTTTTTCTGAACACTGGGGTCTGTTAATCTGTGAAACTTCCTTCCTACAGGCATTTAAATTTTTTATATGCTTTTCTTTATCTAAAATGGGTTAGGTTTGATATTGCCTAAAGCCACCTGAGAACTGGAAAATAAATTAAATTCTTTATAAAGGAAATGTTAAATAGCTCCCTAAGGCTTTACAGAGATACTTTAGATTTTCAAAGATAATTATTATCTGTTCTAAGATGGGCTGTGACTAGTAGCCTTTAGTAGCCTTCATGTGTTTTAGAAAACTGGAAGATTAGCTGTTGTATATTCAGTATAATGCTATATATATACAGTCACCTGATATATCTAACCAGATGATAGTTATTAAACTTTATGTCAAGACAGTATATTAATGGAAGCTTTACCTAACTAACCCCTCCACATTTTATGTGTACTAAAGTCAGCAGATAGTCTGAATCCCTATTTAAGAAGAATTTCATTTGTTCAATTGCCAGAGATTAATTTTTATTGTAATTCCTTCCATAACATCTCTGAATTTTCCAGAAAGTTGGAACAACATGAAAGCATAGTTTCATTTACCAGGTGTAAATAATCATTAATGTTCTTTGCATTCACTTTAATTTTGTTTTGTTTTAGTTCTGCACAAGACAAAGAAGAATGGATCAAGGTAAGCCTCATTTTTCTTTTCTATTCTTTTCTTTTTTTTTTTTTTTTGAGACAGGATCTCATTCTCACCCAGTCTGGAGTGCAGTGGCGCAATCATGTCTCACTGCACCTCTGCCTGGTCTCAAGCAATCCTCGCATCTCAGCCTCCTGAGTATCTGGGACTATAGACATGCACCACCATGTCTAGTTAATTTTTTTGTGTGTTTCATAGAGACAACGTTTTGCCATGTTGCCCAGGCTGATGTTGAATTCCTGAGCTCAAGCAATCTGCCTGCCTCAGTCTCCCAAAGTGCTGGGATTACAGGTGTGAGCCACTGCGCCCAGCTTATTTTCACTTCTGTTTTTTAGTAACTTCTCTGTGCATATATTGTTGTGTATATTTTAATATATAGTCGTCATTAAAATAGGTTCACTTAATTTTCAAAGTGATTCCTATCATAGATATTTGTTTGATAAAGTATATTCATTGGTTTATATGAGACACTTTAATGTGTGCTTTGAATTTTACTCATACTTTAGGCCCTTCAAGAAACCATCGATGCTTTTCATCAAAGGCATGAAACCTTCAGAAATGCAATTGCAAAGGATAATGACATTCATTCAGAGGTTTCTGTGAGTTGAATTAAATTCTTAACTTCAAGCTCTTTTATATCTTTGCAGTTGCGGAAGATCTGTTTAATCATTTTGTTCTTCAACCTTTTCCCTTTACAATGTCAGAAATGGCTGTTTAGACAGAATCTCATTCTTAAACGAGCACAATAGTGAGTGCCTTTTCATTCTACTTGAACTTCTTTGAATTTTTCTTACTCTTTTTTTTTTCTTAAGATAGAGGCTTGTTCTGTTGCCCAAGCCGAAGTGTAGTGGCACAATCTTGGCCCACTACAACCTCCACCTCCCAGGTTCAAGTGATTTTCCTGCCTTAGCCTCCCAAGTAGCTGGGATTATAGGTGCATGCCACCATGCCTGGCTAATTTTTATATTTTTAGTAGAGAGATGGTTTCACCATGTTGGCCAGGCTGGTCTTGAACTACTGACCTCAGGTGATCTGCCCACCTCGGCCACCCAAAGTGCTGGGATTACAGATGTGAGCCACTACACCGACCTTATTCTTGAGTTTCAGGACATGGTTTGAGCAATGTAGTTAAAATTATTTCAAAAAATAATGACAATAAAAGGGAATTGTAGTTTTTTTCCCTATTAAAATTGAATCTTTCTTTCCTTTTTAGACTGCTGAGCTAGGGAAAAGAGCCCCAAGATGGATCCGAGATAATGAAGTGACAATGTGTATGAAATGTAAAGAATCTTTCAATGCACTGACGCGAAGGAGGCATCATTGTCGAGCATGTGGATATGTAAGTGAGATTTCTTGATCATTAAGGTTGCTAGTAACTATATAAGTGATGTAAAGTCATCATCTTGGGGGACACACACACACACACACACACACACACACACACACACAGAGTAACTTTCAATGTATCACTAAATCAGTACATTTATTTCGATGCCAACTATGTGCAGAGCACTGTGCTGAGCCCTGGAGAAATGTTCCCTGGCTTCACAGAGCTTACATTGTAATGGAGAAGACAGACAAATAAGAATTTCAGATTACTATAGATAGAATAAAAAAGCAATTGAATAGTTAAAAGTGGACAGTATTAGTAATAGAGGAAGATTTGGAACCAATTTTAGTTCCAAAAAAAAAGACCTGTCTAAGGGGTTGATATTTAAATTGAAGCTTAAAAGATTGAGAAAAGGGGGCAGGCACAGTGGCTCACACCTGTAATCCCAGCACTTTGGGAGGCCGAGGTGGGTGGATCACCTGAGGTCAGGAGTTCAAGACCAGCCTGACCAACATGGTAAAATCCTGTCTCTACTAAAAGTACAAAATTAGCCGGGCATGGTGGCGTGTGCTTGTAATCCCAGCTACTTGGGAGGCTAAGGCAGGAGGATTGGGAGGTGGAGGGTACAGTGAGCTGAGATTGCAGCATTGCACTGCAGCCTGGGCAATAAGAGTGAAACTCTTTCTCCAAAAAGGAAAAAAAAAAAAAAAGGTTGAGAAAGAGCTAATAATCAATAGAAATGGGAAAAAACTTCAGACAGTGAAAGTCTATACGCAGAGCCCCTGAGGTAGGAAGGAACTTGGTCTGTTCATGAGACTGCCAAAGGTCATGAGGCTGGAGCATGATGAAAAAGACGAGGAGTGTTAGAGGAACAAATAATGGCCAAACAATGACTTGTTTCTGTGAGAAACAAGAGTAGATGGAACCCACAATACAAGTGGAAGTTCTGGCTTTGATGAGGAGAGGAAAACTTCCTCCATTATATCAGAAGGGAAAAAGAAAAAGATGTGTACAAATGTAGGTGAGTTGGGACTTTTGTTGTTTCTGATGGTGAGAAATGAGGGAGTTTATGTCCAATATCTGTATGTTCACTGAAGAACAAAGCAGAATCATCAGTTGAAAGTGAAGTTGAAAAGAACAAAGTTGAATCATCAGTTGAAGGAAGGAGGAGATGGGGAGATTCGAGAAAGAGGACTAAGTGTGAAAGTTTTCTCTGGGCAGAGAAAAGTGAGCCTGGTAGAGGGACAAAGGTGGACTTGGTTACCTGTTAGAAGTTTACAGTTACAAATTTAAAGGGACGCTAGTCAGCTTAGTGGCAGTGATTTTTTTCTAACAAGATATAGAAACTCAGGCCGGAGAAGGCAGATAGCAGGGTTTATCCAGAGTAAGTATAATGAGAAAAGCACTGGAAGAGAAGGGAAACATTTGCATCAAAGAGTTAATAATGAAGAAGAGGAGTCTCAATCAGATACAAAGAGCAGGAAAGCTAGGAGGCAGGGTTGATGGTTAATGTTCTCATTGTGGTGGGGTTGGTGGACAGAAGGAATTCAATAAGTTCAGAAATGTATGGTAGTGGACATCTTGGGGTCACTGAATGAGAAATATGGGAGATATTGATGAAAAAAATGGGATATGTGAATCTGGCCTGCCAGATATGGTTCACCTTCTGGTGATGACAAAGTCCTGGGGGTGACCATGAGACTGGATAGTAAGGTAGACTGCACAGCACTGGCCGCAGGGATATAAGGTGGTAGAGTTGGCCTTGTCACATGAATGTTGAAATCCACGGACATTGGGGTAGATCAGAGAACTATGTTCCATTAGTGAGAAATTCCTGAGTGAATGGGTGTGGGGGCAGATGATGAGGAGATGCTAACTCAGTAGGGGAGATGTGCAGAGCCAGACAATAATGGGCCTCAGAGGTGCCAGGGAACTGTTTGAAGCAAGGAAAGAGTCAGGGAATACAAGCCTCAGCTCTCAGCCCTGAGGTCTCAGAGGTGACAGAAGGCAAAATGGAGTGGGGGAAAAACAAAAAACCTCCACTAGAGAAAAGAGCCTGAGGATATGGAAGAGGTCGATTGTAGAGTGAAAATGGAACGGCATGGAGGTGAAAGTAGGAGATGAACTAGGTTAAATTATGTGCAGAGGCCAGGCGTGGTGGCTCACACCTGTAATCCCAGCACTTTGGGAGGCCGAGTAGGGTGGATCACAAGGGCAGGAGTTAGAGGCCAGCCTGGCCAGCATACTGGAACCCTGTCTCTACTTAAAAAAAATTAGCCAGGTGTTGTGGCAGGCACCTGTAATCCCAGCTCCTCGGGACACTGAAGCAGGAGAATCGCTTAAACCCGGGAGGCGGAGGTTGCAGTGACCCGAGATCACGCCATTGCACTCCAGCTCAGGCAACAGTGCAAGACTCCGTCTCAAAAAAAAAAAAAATTATGTATAGAGGAGTATGTTTGGTGATGAGGCGTGAAAATAGCCAGAGAGGTGGGCCTTTTCCTGGGACCTGAGAGACAGGAAAGTGGGACATGACATGGAGTGCATTCTGCTGGACTTTGAGATAAGGGCGGGCTGCCAGACCTACTGCTATGATCCCAGAAGTTTCCCTCGGTGACATGGCAGCCTAAAGGATGGTGCTTCCTGAGAATCTAAGGAACAATGCTTCACACTGAAGATACACATGTTAGGTATTGGTGGACACAAACTGCTTAGTATTAGAGTCAGCACTGCAAGACAGGGACTGGCAGAAAACGGGCTGGAATGGTGGTAGGTAGGAATCAGGTCACTGAGAGCCAGAGATGCCATGGTAAGATGCTTAGATTTAATCACTTTTTAAAGGGAATTGGTTCAATGAAGAAAGAGTTGAGGAAGACAGGAAGTAAGTAGTCAGGAATGACTTTAATGTTAAGATTTGGGTGACTGGATAAATGGTAGTGTGCTATTAATTGACATAGAAAAATGAAGCAAGGTTAAATGAAGGGGAGGTAAGCAAAAGGAAAAATAACAGTAGTTATCATTTATGATGTACAAGTGCCAGGGATTGTTTGAAGTGTGTTGTATACTGTTTCTTTTTTCTTTTCTTTTCTTTTTTTTTTTTTTTTTTTTTTTTTTTTTTGAGATAGAGTCTTGCTCTGTCGCCCAGGCTGGAGTGCAATGGCATGATCTCTGCTCACTGCAGCCTCTGCCCCATGGGTTTAAGCAATTCTCCTGCCTCAACCTCCTGAGGAGCTGGGATTACAGGCGTACGCCACCATGCCCAGCTAATTTTTGTACTTTTAGTAGAGATGGGGTTTCACCATGTTGGCCAGGCTGGTCTCTTGACTCCTGTGATCCACCCACCTCGGCCACCCAAAGTGCTGCGATTATAGGCATGAGCCACTGTGCCCCGCCCTATACTGTTCTTACAGTTTCTCAATTCTCATGTGTGGAAGATTCTATTTTCTCCATTATATAATTCAGAAATTGACTCTTTGTTACGTATTTCTCTTTTTTCTTATTCTCTCCCTGTGGGATTCAGATGAGGTGTACATAAGATCACCTCATTCCATCTTCCATTTCTCTTGTTTTTTTCCATCTCTGTGTCTCTCTCTGGCATTTTATTCATCTCTATCTCCTGTTTTGTTCATTTACTCTTCAGTTGTAGTGAATCTGCTGTTCATTTTTTTGTTTTGTTCATTTTGTTCATTTTTTATTTTAATTATTTCCAAAAGTTTTTCCTTCCAAAATCTGCCTGATCATTTTGGATAGTTTTTGTTGTTTGCCACTTTGTTTTCAAACATTTCTTATGTACTTTTCACATTTGTATCTAATAATGCCAGTAGCTAAAGGCATTATTTTTTTATTTTATTATTTTTTTAAGACGGTATTTTTGCTCTTGTTGCCCAGGCTGAAATGCAGTGGCGCAATGTTGGCTCACCGCAACCTCTGCCTCCCGGGTTCAAGCGATTCTCCTGCCTCAGCCTCCCAAGTAGCTGGGATTACAGACATGCACCACCACGCCCAGCTAATTTTGTATTTTTAGTAGAGACGAGGCTCCTCCATGTTGGTCAGGCTAGTTTTGAATTTCCAACCTCAGGTGATCTGCCTGCCTCAACCTCCCAAAGTGCTGGGATCACAGGCGTGAGCCACCGTGCCTGGCCTAGCTGAAGACATTTTAAGGGTTCCAAATCTGTTGTTTCTACTAAATTCTAGTTCCTGGAGGCTTGCTTTCTGCTGTAATTGGTTTCTTCTCATTGTGAGCTTGTATTTGGTTGATGCGTCATTATCTTCCTTTCTTTTTTTATTTTTATTTTTTTTGAGACAGAGTGTCACTCTGTCGCCAGGCACCAGGCTGGAGTGCAATGGTGCAATCTCGGCTCACTGTAACCTCCGCCTCCCGGGTTCAAGCAATTCTTCTGCCTCAGCCTCCCGAGTAGCTGGGACTACAGGCGCGTGCCACAACGCCCAGCTAATTTTTGTATTTTTAGTAGAGATGGGGTTTCACCATGTTTGCCAGGATGGTCACGATCTCTTGACCTCATGATCTGCTTGCCTTGGCCTCCCAAAGTGCTGGGATTACAGGCGTGAGCCACTGCGCCTGACCACCATTATCTTCCTTTCATAAGTTTTGGCATAATGACAGAGTCTGGGGGTCAGTTTTCCCATGGCCTCCAGGCCCCATGGACTGTCTCCTAATCCCAGCACTGCCCATCCCACTTGTTTGCTCTGTTCATCCACCATTACAATTTCAGCTTACTGTGTGTCTGTTGGTTTGTTTGTTCACTGGGTTTGGGGGCCTTGGAGAGTTCTCTTACATTAGTGTGAAGAAGTAAAACATTACAATTATTTGCTGTATTTTGTCCAGAATCCAGTTGTATTATAGCAAAATTCTCAGAGTTATCTGTCATGTTGATAGCAGCAGGAGTCAAAAACATATTTAATAATGGTTATATGTTTCATTATGACTGTTTACATAGTCTTTCTATATCCTAAAGTTACATAAACTTCAGCTGGGCATGGTAGCTCACACCTGTAATCCCAGCACTTTGGAGGGAGGCTGAGACAGGAGGATAGCTTGAGACCAGGAATTTGAGACCAACTGGGCAACATGGTGAAACTCAGTCTCTATAAAAAATACAAAATAGCCTGGACGGTGGCACATGCCTGTAGTCCCAGCTACTCAGGAGGCTCAGGTGGGAGAATCGCTTGAGCTCAGGAGGTCAAGGCTGCCGTGAGCCAAGATCACACCTCTGCACTTCAGCCTGAGTGACAGAGCAAGACCTCATCTGAAAAAAATAAAAACAAAAAAGTTATATGAACGTCTGTAAAAACTTACAATTTTTCTGGTTTTTGTTTGTCTTTGATACTTTATAAATTCCCCTGTTGTTTATGAAATTTCAAATTCCTTATCCAAAAATATGTTTCTGATTATAAGTTAATAACAATATTGCCAATATTTAAATGTAATGATGCTACATATTAACATAATTAGATCATGATTTGGTCAGCTACTGAGCTGAGTTTCATACAGAAAAGTGAGGAACAAACTATGGAATGAAGCTGGAAAGAGGCAATTTTTGGAGGACTTTTTAAACCAAGTTAAAGATCATAGCCTTTCTCCTAAAAGGAGACACAGAGAACAGTATCAAGCGGTTCTCCTGCCTCAGACTCCCAGGTAACTGGGATTACAGGCCCGCACCACCATACCCAGCTAATTGTTGTATTTTTAGTAGAGACGGGATTTCCCTGTGTTGGCCAGGCTGGTCTCAAACTCTGGACCTGAGGGGATCTGAGGATTTTAAATAGAGGAGGAATAAATCAGAGTATGTACATATATATATATACATTTTTTTTTTTTTTTTTTTTTTTTTTTTGAGATGGAGTCTTGCTCTGTTGCTAGGCTGGAGTGCAGTGGCAGGATCTCAGCTCACTACAGCCTTTGCCTCCTGGGTTCAAGTGATTCTCCTGCCTCAGCCTTCTGAGTAGATGGGACTACAGGTGCATACCATCACACCCAGCTAATTTTTGTATTTTTAGTAGAGACAGGGTTTCACCATGTTGGCCAGGATGGTCTCAATCTCTTGACCTCGTGATTGGCCTGCACTGGCCCCCTAAAGTGCTGGGATAACAGGTGTGAGCCGCCGTACCGGGAAGTAGCTTTTTTTTGGTTGTTTTTTGTTTTTTGAGACGGTCTCTGGCTCTGTTGCCCAGGCTGGAGTGCAGTGGCGCTATCGTGGCCCACTGCAACCTCCACCTCCCAAGTTCTTGCAATTCTCCTGCCTCAGCCTCCTGAATAGCTGGGACTACGGATGCACGCCACCATGCCTGGCTAATTTTTTTCTTTTTTTGTATTTTAGTAGAGACGGGGTTTCACTATGTTGCCTGGGCTGCTCTCAAACTCCTGAGCTCAGGCAATCCACCCACCTCGGCCTCCCAAAGTGCTGAGATTACAGGCATGAGCCACTGCACCCGCCCATAGCTTTTTTTTTTTACAGTGTCGTAAGCTGATATATTATTTGTGTGCCTAAGTGTAACAATTCTCATTGATAGTTTTTTTAGCTTATTCTTCCTATTTTCCTCAGACTTAGTTTTGACTCAAGAAGGTAGTTTTGTGATCAAAATTAAATTGACAGCAAAGAGCTTTTTTATCAGGATAAGACTTTAAAAATCTATCATTAAGTTTGCTTGAAATGATTTCCGTTATTGGCATACTTGCTTGCAATAAACAAAAAATGTGTTTAAATATGCATTGTCAAAATACTGTGCTATGATTTGAAAATAAATAAAATGGATGGTATGAGTCTGCAGATACAAGTATGTCTAATTCTAAATCCCAGAGTAATTTCATTGTAATTATGAGCAAACAGTGGACCATTTTTATCTTGAATTTTAAATGCTATAAACCTACAACAAAAATTTGAATTATATATTTTCTTTAATACAACTTGTCTACTATAAATTGAGGGGAAAATATACTTCTGTAAAAGGAAGAAGATATTAAACTAGAAGATTTTAAGCAAATCCTATAATAGAAAAAAATGATCACTAAGAAATACGCATTTGTGTCGTATTCATTCATTTATTGGCAGTCTGCGAATGTTTATTACGTGTCTGTTGAGCAAAATATACAAAGACAGTCTCTCTTGGAGCTTACAGCCCTGTAAAGGAGATAAACAATCAAATAATCATACAAGAATAAAATTAAAAGCTGTAATCATTACTATGAAAGAAAAGGCAGGGAACACTGACAGGAGACATGCTGTGTTCTGGGATTTGGAGGAGTCCTCATTGAGGAACTGGAATTTGAACCAACATCTGAAGGGAAACCAAAAGTTAACTCAGTGAAGCAGAGAGGAGAGAGGCAGAGAGCATGGCCCTTGGGAACTGTAAGAAGCCAGTGTCACCGAGGACACAGCCCAGAAAGACCAGAAAGAAGGCAAATTATGCAGGACTTTGTAGGCCATGATTAAGAATTGGCTCTTTAGCCAAGAGCAAAGGAAAGAGTGAAGGATTTTAAATAGAGGAGGAATAAATCAGAGTAACTTTTTTTTTTTTTTTTTTTTTGAGACTGGGTTTTACTCTGTCACCCAGGATGGAGTGCAGTAGCATGAGCTCCGCCTTGGCTGGTCTGGAAATCCTGGACTCAAGCGATCTGTCCTTCTTGGCCTCCCAAAGTGCTGGGATTACAGGAGCCACCACACTTGACCAGATTAGCATTCTTTTATTTTTTTTTAGACAGAGTCTTGCTCTGTCGCCCAGGCTGGAGCTCTGTAGCGTGACCTCGACTCACTGCAGCCTTCGCCTCCTGGGTTCAAGTGATTTTCCTGCCTCAGCCTCCTGAGTAGATGGGACTACAGGCACATACCACCACACCTGGCTAAGTTTTGTACTTTTAGTAGAGATGGGGTTTCACCATGTTGGCCAGGATGGTCTCAATCTCCTGACCTTGTGATCCACCCGCCTCCCAAAGTGCTGGGATTGCAGACATGAGCCATTGCACCCAGCCCAGATTAGCATTTTTAAGAGGCGCATCACTCCACTGTTTGGAAGATATTATAGCTTGGAGGAGGTATAAGAGTGGAGGCCTGGAAATGGACTTGGGTGGTTATAAGGAAGTTGTGGAAAAATAGACTGAAGAAATATTTAGAAAAGTGAAATCAGTGGGACTTTGTAAAATAGAAAATCTTTGGGTGAGATTGAAAGAGGTTTTGGGGATGACTCCTGTGTGTCAGACACAGGACCAATCGTATGACTGCCCCATTTCCTGCAATAGAAAGGACTGAGAGGAGACCGGGTTGGGAGAAGCGGGTTGGATGGACTGAGACCAGGGAAGGTCGTGAGCAGTTTGGAGAGGATATTGATGAACATTCAGAAGTATGAAGAGTCAAGGTCTACACTAAGCCTTTGAGGGTCTTCTACCTTTAGAGGCCAGGAAAAGAAGGATGAGTGAGCAGACCTCCTCCCAAACACGGTTGAAACACCCTATGTCTAGTGTTTATAGGGATGTTCCTTTTCTAACAAAAATCTGCCTTCTATGCTTAACACTTTCTCATTCATTATTACCTATAATTGATTATTGCTTAAATTGTATCATTTAAATATGATTACTGTTCTTTTTTCTTTTAAATTTAAGGTGGTTTGTTGGAAATGCTCCGACTACAAAGCTCAACTTGAATATGATGGAGGTAAATTGAACAAAGTTTGTAAAGACTGTTATCAAATCATAAGTGGATTCACAGAAAGTGAAGAAAAGAAAAGGAAAGGAATTTTAGAGGTAAGAAATATCAAATATTGGATGTTTTTTAGATTTTTTTTTTGCGATGAAGTCTTGCTCTGTCACCCAGGCTGGAGTGCAGTGACACGATCTCAGCTCACTGCAACTTCTGCCTCCTTGGTTCAAGCAATTCTTCTGCCTCAGCCTCCCAGGTAGCTGGGATTACCAGCCTATGCCACCATGCCCAGCTAATTTTTATATTTTTGGTACAGATGGGGTTTCCCCATGTTGGCCAGTTTGGTCTCGAACTCCTGACCTCAGGTGATCTGCCCACCTCAGCCTCCCAAAGTGGTGGGATTATGGGCATAAGCCACCATACCCAGCCTAGATTTTTATAGAACAGAATCCTCTTAGCTATGAGGAGTACAAATAATATGTTTTGTTATTTCTTTGAGTATTTAACAATTTGTATAATGAGCAAGATTTATGCTTTTGTTCTAATATGCTGACTTTTGGGAGTCCCATAATACATTGAATTTTGTGGCAGTAGCTATAGCTAAATATTTCAGTATTAACTGACATCTCTTCTAATACCCAAATTATTGTAGTATATTTTCTATAAAGGAAAGCTTTTACTCTCAATTTCATCATATTGGCTTTACAAACCACTTTAGATAAAAGTGTTATTACCGAACAGACTATTCCAACTTATTATAGTAAAATATCTAGTTTATTATAGTCATTTAATAGCCAGTGACATACTCTGATAACTGCATTGAAATTTTATTGAAGTGTCTCCCAAGTTAATTTGACTCAGTTTCTAGAAAAGATTCAGAAGCCTGGGAACTATAATGTAGCTTATCTGAATTAATAATATGGATCTACTAATAAAAATGAAATTCTTTGGGGGAGTATAACCTTTCACTCAATTAGAATCCAAAGTTAGTGTTCTCTGTCATCAAATTGATTGTAAATGATCATGTGTAAAAATGTTCCCTGGCTCATGGGCCATACAAAAAGAAGTGGTGGGCTGGATTTGGCTTGTGGGCTATCATTTGCTAACCAGTGCTGCTTAGAAAACTGTAGCCAGGTGTGGTGGCTCATGCCTGTAATTGCAGCACCAAGGCCAAGGCGGGTTGTTCACTTGGGGTCAGGAGTTCAAGACCAGCCTGACCAACATGGTGAAACCCCATTCTACTAAAAACACAAAAATTAGCCAGGTGTGGTGGTGCCTGCCTGTAATCCCAGCTACTGGGGAGGCTGAGGCAGGAGAATTGCTTGAACCTGGGAGGCGGAGGTTGCAGTGACCCAATATTGTGCTATAGCACTCCAGCCTGGGTGACAAGAGCTAAACTCTATCTCAAAAAAAAAAAAAAAAAACACCTTTCTGTGATGAAGCATCAGTTTTGTTTTTTTTTCCTCAGACTATCACAGATCAATGTTTTTGTAAAATACACAATAACACACTTGGGTATCATCACAAATTCAAACTGTTATAAAAGTGTAATACTTTCTCCTACTTGTGTGATTACGTGAAACTGGTAACAAAACCATTTGGAGACCTGGAGACCAGCATGGATAACACTGAGTAGCACTACCTGAAGGGTTTCAGAGACAGAAAATAGAAAATAGAAGCAAACCAGTTAGTTTCCTAAGGTATATAACAAAACCTATTATTTAGTTAAATGGTTTTGTTCCATTTTTTAGCCTTTTTTTTTTTTTTTTTTTTTTTGACAGACTCAATCTGTTGCCGAGGCTGGAGTGCAGTGGTGTGATCTCGACTCACTTCAACCTGTGCCTCCCCAGTCCAAGCAATTCTCATGCCTCAGCCTCCTGAGTAGCTAAGATTATGGATGTGTGCCACCACACCTGGCTAATTTTTTGTTTGTTCATTTTTTTAAGTAGAGATATGGTTTCACTATGTTGCCTAGGCTAGTCTCGAACTCTTGACCTCAAGTGATCCACCTGCCTTTGCCTCCCAAAGTGCAGAGATTACATGTGTGAGCCACCACACCTGGCCTTTTAACCAAAAATTTTTATATTACGAGGCAAAGCAGAAAAATTAAACGGGCCTATGTATTAGTCTGTTCTCACACTGCTATAAAGACATAACCAAGACTGGGTAATTTATAAATAAAAGAGGTTTAATTGACTCACAGTTCCACATGGCTGGGGAGGCCCAGGAAACTTAACAATCATGGCAAAAGGAGAAGAGGCACGTCTTACATGGTGGCAAATGAGAGTGAGCAAGTATAGGAAGGAAGAACTGTCAGACACTTATAAAACCATCAGATCTCATGAGAACTCACAATCACGAGAACAGCATGGGGGATACTACCCCCCCTTCCACCTCTCCCTTGACACATGGGGATTATGGGGATTACAATTCAAGATGAGATTTGGCTGGGGACACAAGGCCTAACCATACCACTCTACAAAAATGGATTGCATTGAAAAAGTTTTTAATTCAGCGTACTCAAACAAAGATTGCTGGTTGCTGTTTGCCTTTTTGCTATTATATTCTTTCTTAGTTAAAGTAGGTATAGCATTGTCGTTACAAGTTCAGGCTCTGGTCTGGGCACAGTGACTCACGCTTGTAATCCTGGCACTTTAGGAGGTCAAGGCAGGAGGATTGCTTGAGGCCAGGACTTCAAGACCAGTGTGGGCAATATAGTAAGAGCCTGTCTCTACAAAAAAATGTAAAAATTATCTCCCAGCTACTTGGGAGGGTGAGGCAGAGGATCAGAGTTCAGGCTCTGGATCCAGACTCTCTAGGTTCAAATCCTAGCATGCCAATGTGTGATCTTGGGAAAGCTATTTAAACTCTGAGCCTCAGAGAAAATGAAAATACTAACTTCTCAGTGTTGATGTGAGGATTAAATCAAATAATACATGTATTGAGCTAAGAAAAGTGCTTCCATGATAAGCAGTCAATAAATATTTGACTCTTTAAATTCAAGGTCTATTTATACAAAGAGCTAAAATTGGCTTAAATGTTTTCCATGTTAAAACGTTTTAACAATAATTGCACATGAATCTTTTTTGGATAGCCCAGGGAGACATTTTATATAAACACCTACTTTGTGAATATTTCCCTTTAGTTGAATGATTTCTTTATCTGGTTCGTTGTGTGTTTATTCTCTCTCTTTCCATTATATTTTTCCAGATTGAATCAGCAGAAGTATCTGGAAACAGTGTGGTGTGCAGCTTTCTTCAGTATATGGAGAAGTCGAAACCTTGGCAGAAAGCTTGGTGTGTGATCCCCAAGCAAGACCCCCTTGTGCTGTACATGTATGGTGCCCCCCAGGTATCTAACCACATCTGTCCGAAGGGACAGATGCCCTTGGGGGCAGGGGGAAGCAAGTGGACAGTGGACTCAAAATCTGTAGAACAAGAGTTTCACTGTTTCATTAAATTTGAAAAATAATGAGTAAAGTTCAAGTTTGTTGTTTAAGCTGATGGATTCATTTTATAGCCCATATTTTCTTCAGTCTGGATTGTCTATCTCTTTCTTCTCTCCTTCAATGGGTTTGGGAAAAGAATAGAATTAGGAATGAGTATGAAGAGGAGGGGAAACAAGGCTTTTTAATGACAGGAAACATTAAGAAAAGACTCTGATTTTGTTGTTGTTTTTGTTGTGGGGGGTGTGTGTGTGTGTGTGTGTGTGTGTGTGTGTGTGTGTGTGATGGCGTTTCACTCATGTTGCCCAGGCTGGAGTGCAATGGCATGATCTTGGCTCATTACACCCTCCACTTCCCGGGTTCAAGTGATCCTCCTGCCTCAGCCTTCTGAGTAGATGAAATTACAGGTGCTCGCCACCACATCTGGCTAATTTTTATATTTTTAGTAGAGACGGGGTTTCGCCATGTTGATCAGGCTACTCTCAAACTCCTGACCTCAGGTGATTTACCCTCCTTGGCCTCCCAAAGTGCTGGGAATTCAGGCATCAGCCACCACGCTCAGCCAATTTTGTTTTTTATTTTATTTGTTGCTTAATGGATAGATATCTGAAAAAGAAGTTTGAGAGGATGGGTAACTTAAAATCCATCTTGTGCTATCATTTAATAACAGCTTTTTTAAGAATCCCATGTATATGGACCTGAGATAAATCTATGGGAACAATGATATGCAGGTTTAGCTTCTAACAAGAGCAGCACCAGGTCCTATGATTGTGTTGTGCTTGAAGAATCAAATGTACAATACTTAAACCAGTTATGCATTTACTCTGAAAATATAAAAAATTTAAATATACCTGTTGTATTTTCTTATATATATTAAGGGCTGGTAAAAATTATTTTATTTTGAAAATAGACTAAAAATGACAGGCTATATAGCTTATTTTCCTTTATTGCTTTTCCTATAAGCCTTCCATGTGCATAAGTAAGTTGAAGAGGGAATGAACGATTCACCAGATAAAACTGCCTTTAGCAATGAGATTATCGTTCATGTTTGCTGGTTTAATACAGTATGATGGTAATTGCTTTCTTCCCCTTTTCACTGAATGAAGAGTTGAACGGGCTCTTTCACAGAGGAGGGTTTAGTGTCTCTGAGCCCTAGTTGATTTGGGTGTCAGCGCTTATTCATTCAACTAACGTTATCAGTGGCCTCGCGTACAGGCTCTGTGCCAAGCAATGGGATTACCTGCCGTGCCCACGGAGAACTCACTGTTTGAGTCTGGTTGGGACAGTGGTAGGAAGAAAGGTTTAGTAGCAACAAGGGACACCCTTAGCAAGCAAATACATCTCCTGCTTTTAATGTGCGGTGTTTTTTCTTTAGGACGTCAGAGCCCAGGCCACCATTCCACTTCTGGGCTATGTGGTAGATGACATGCCACGGAGTGCAGACCTGCCACACAGTTTCAAACTGACCCAGTCTAAGTCTGTGCACAGCTTTGCTGCAGACAGCGAGGAACTGAAGCATAAATGGCTGAAAGTCATCCTTTTAGCTGTCACAGGTGAGACACCAGATGGTCCAAATGAGCATCCAGGCACCTTGGATGATCATCCTGAACCTAAGAAAAAATCAGAATGCTGAACTTATCCAGGACCAGCCATAGTGCAGAGGTCTCAAGATGTAAAGCTCAAGACATTCCCAGCTCTTCATACTCATCTGCTAGCACTTTATGTTGAAGAATACAGGCTCATAAATGCATCAGTTGAGGACTATTTTCCTATGTTTATGTACTCCTAACGAAAGTAGTGTACAGTGTCATTCTACCGATAAAGTTTTGAAATAATGTGAAAACTGGATCATTTTTTGAGCTATTCCTTGAATATGTGCTTTTTTGTCTTGAAGAAAATGGTATCAGTTGATTCTGTCACTGTCAGGTTAGAATGAGCACTTTCATTTAAGAAATCCTTTAATATGTTCTTCTCTTTCACACGTAGGACCTGTAACAGTTTGAAAGATATACCTCCATGTTGCCAAAATAGATCCACGGTGAAAAATACAGGGACAGTTTAGGCTATTGTATTAACTTATTTAATTTAGTTTATAAATCTCTAGCTGCATAAATGATGTCTGTTCTTTTAAAACAAAAAGGACAATTGTTGGTGTTCAGATTTTCGATTTATGAAGAAAAGAGAACTTGTTTTGTAGAAATACTTCTAAGAATATCTTAAGTATATAGTAATTATGTATATATAGTATTAAATATATATATATATATACTATACATGCTTTTCTCTTTAGCTTTGGGTTCACATTCATTTCTAATTTATTTTTTAAATATAAAGCATGGTTTATCTTGGAATTCAGCAATGTTCTAAACTGAAGAAATGTTTTGGTGATTTATGTTTAACTGATTGGCATTTGAGGGTATTGATATTTTTATAAGTGGTAATTTATGTGGCATGGGATATATTTGTGAATTCCAACAGTACTTTTAAAGTACCATCTTTTGTTTCTGTGCCTATTTAAAACAGTGCCTCTCTTAGAAGGTGCTATTAATGTAAGATGAGGGTTCAGTTATAAGCTTCAGTCTTGATTATTTTAAGATTAAAGTGCATTTCAGTCACTGGGACAGTCAAAGTCATGTAGGTTGTTTTACCTTTTATGATCCTAAAATTGTTGCAGTAGTTAACCTCAGCATGTACAGAAATTTTCACCAAAACCCAAACTTAGGAGACACCCGACCCTTTTACAGAACTAGGATATGTGGAAACCACGTTCATTGTAATGTTTTTCTTTTCCATAAGGTAGTCAAGCATGGTTAAATGAGGACCCTCTATATACTGAACACTTAAGATCTGTGTGGGCCTATTCCTTTGTCAGAATGAAACAAAATCCACCTGGGATAACCCATGTTTGGGGCAGGGGCTGGTCACATGATTCCTTGTCATGAAGGCTGCGCTACACTGTGTTGTACCTCTGATTAAAATCTCACACTAAGTTTACTATTTAACTTAATCCTTTTCTCAAATTAAACATTTTTTTATATTGTCATACCCCAAACATTCTCACTTTTTAATGTACCAGTCTGCTAGAAATCTCTAAGAATGATCCCACTATCTTTAGTATGTAAGGATTACACCTTAGGGGTAGAATAGAATTTGAGACTGCCACACATTTATTCAGGCCTTGTTACTTTAAGAAATATCTTATTTTTTCCACCCTATAGGAGCAAGTGAATCAATTATTGCTGACATAATTAGGTTCACTTCCTCCATAAAAGGAATATCAGCCATGATCATTAACATTAAACCAAATACATGGAGCCAAAAAGAGATAAAAGTAGCTTCTTAGGTCCTATTAAATCAGAGAAAGACTAAAAGAAATTTTACATTGCTTCTCTTTTTTAATGGCCAGTGGTGTGTGTGTGTGATATATACTCAGAGTGGTTTTTTAGAAAATTATAGCTATAAATGATCCTTTGGTTTTCTTAATCTCAAGTAAAGAGAAGCAATGGAAATATAGAATGATAAGCAGGGGAAGATGACTTTTGTAAGTGTGGATAGAACAATGGTAATGTGTGGGCCAGTGGGAAGATTTATGAGTCAGATTATTTTTGAAAACTATTTTTAAAAGCAAGAAGACTACACTTTCCCTACAGAAGTAATATAAACACACTTAAGTTTTGGCTCAATAAATATCAATGTTATTTAACTTAGATCATTGAAAGAATATTCACGTAAAGATAATGTTTATTATCATGCTCTTAACAGTCATTATCTTTAATTTTGTTTTTTTGTTTTGTTTTGTTTTGTTTTGTTTTGTTTGAGACAGAGTCTCACTTTGTCATCCAGGTTGGAGTGCAATGGCTCGATCTCAGCTCACTGCAACCTCTGCCTCCTGAGTTCAAGCAATTCTTCTGCCTCAGCCTCCTGAGTAGCTGGGACTACAGGCGTGTGCCACCATGCCTGGCTAATTTTTCTTTTTTTTTAGTAGAGATGGGGTTTCACTGTGTTAGCCAGGATGGTCTCAATCTCCTGACCTCGTGATCCGCCCGCCTCAGCCTCCCAAAGTGCTGGGATTACAGGCGTGAGCCACCACACCCGGCTACCTTTAATTTTTTAAATGAGAATCATTAGTACTAGAAGAGAATTTCCAGTTTTCCGGTCACCATATTCAGTTTCCACCCCACATTCTTCAGCTAAACACAAAGAGAAGCAGTGAAACAGCCTTACCCGCTTCTCTCTTATTAAAGAATCACTGGTGTTTTTACTCAATGAAAGGTAAAGGAATACTCTTAGCCATTTATTAAACAATTCATCCAAAAGACCTCAAAATGTGAGTGATGATGAGAATAATCAATACCTTTTCCTTTCCAAGATATTTGAGCAGCCATGACAAACTGAACCTAAACAGATCATTAGTTGCTTTCCCATTAAAACCAGCCTTCCCTGTGGGTCTTAATTCTTTATTTTCACTCATTCAGTGCTTTCCAAGTCATCTTTTCTTTAAAGTGCCCTTCCTCCAAACTTTAAAAAGTACTTCCTTGACAAAATTGCTATACATTATAAAACTTTCCAATATTTTAAGCTTAAATTCTGCTTTTGTTGAAAGTCTACCATTTGGCAAGTTAAGTGTGAAATATACTGCAGACTTTTATCTCGGTTTTAAGTGGGGCTTGATAAGAAAAAACACCAGCCACTTTTGTAATAATGGCATCCACAGTGTCATCATGTATGCAAGCAATAAAACTCTTCAGGGTATGGTTTTATACTGAAAATTTAATATGAAGGCCCCTTGCCACAAGGACATAGCGAATTATTAGCTTTCTAGATGTGTTATGGTAATTCAAATTGTGGAATATAAAGAAGGGAAATGGGAAGGGGCATCATTCCTTGGATTTTAAATAACTATTAAGAACATTTTTACTTTAACAGAGAAAATGGACAAAGCACATTTTGTTTTCCGTGAAGTTTAATTTGACATCAGGTTTGTGTACTTATCTTCACTAGGTGACTTACCCCAATTTTTTAAACTTTTTACAGAAACTAACCTTTTAAATGTACCCTTTCCCCATATATATACACACACATTTGGATTTTTTTTTTAAGAGCACTTGTTCTAGTTATAAATGTATAAAGAAAACGATAGTTTGTGGTACTGCAGGGTTGTTAACGATTCTTTGATGCCTTCTAAAAACTTTTATCAAAAATACTTTTGTGAGTTCACAATTCTGTTTTACTTTTCCTTGTCCCTACTTTTTGCAAACAGGGTGGTTGCTTTTGTTTGTTTTCTGGTTATATTCAAAGCCTTAAGTTCTTAATCTGAGCATATTGTCTGTGAGAAATTTCTGATGGTCTTTCTGGACTAGATACATCCTGCATAGCAAGCACCAACAGGAGAAAGTAAACCTCTCGGGAACAAACGTCTTAGTTTTTACAGGTATCTTTGCTCTGATGCAGAGTAGATTCACAAAGATTTCCTGTATCATATGATGTTTATGTTTGTGGGTCTGAGATTAAGCACATGATATTTATAAGCTAAAATTAACTCAAAAGGCAAGAATGTCTTAATGTTTTCATTCTTAAATTTTGTATTCTCCAAGAATGTATTAGTATGTGAACTGTGGCCAGCCAGTTCCTGTTCTTCAGACTGTGTTGACATGTGTAGTGGATCATGTTGCTTCCTCATTCTTATCAGTTTTATTAGAATCAAACTACTTGTTATTTTCATACTATTATCTACTATAGATTCTCAGCTTTAGAAAATGACTATGATACATAAAGACCACTAGGTCAACTTTAAAAACCCTTTCTGTGAATTTATACATATTTGTATATATGTAAAAACACTGTTGATTTGCAATTCTGTCTTTCCATAGAAATGAAATTTTTCTATCAAAATTGTTTAACTTAAATATTTTAACATAAATTATTTACATGGATCTTTATGTATAATTCATCCTTATATATGCCCCTTAATCACGTAGTCATGAGAAGATAACTTTGCTTTCATTACAGATAGGGCAGAGAAGAATAAGATAAGAAACTGAAACAAGCAAGAATGAAGAGAGATGAGAGGAGAGACTGCTGGTCTCCAGACCACAGCAATGTATTTTAAGATAAGAGGAAATATTTTAACTGCAGACGGGATATAAAATATAAATCTATGTAATTACATGCTGATGGGATCCACTGCACCCAGGTTTTTTACCTTGGCCTGTAAATTATAGACTATATTTTGTTATTCTCTTTGTCTTTTGGGCTTTTTTTTTTTTTTTTAACTCAACCAGAACATTATTTTATTTGAGTCTTTTGGGCTTATAAAAAATAATTTCATTCTCAGATCATTTTCTGTACTGTTTACTAAGGCAAAAAAAAATATCTGAAGTCAGTCATGGTCTTCTACTTTCTGGACTTAGCATTTGGCAGAATGCAGTATCTTTTCATGTGTTTTGAGATGAAATAGCACATGGCTTCTCCAAGATAGTTTTTAACTTGTTGGGGTCACTGGGTATGATGGTCAACCCCTTTTCCTAAAATTCATTGTGGTAGTTTTAGTGGAAAAATGTAAATCAAGAAATCTCATATCATATTTTAATAAGTGAATACCAAATACATAGTGAAATATAGGTTTGGGAAGAAACTAGTCTGTGGGGACCATTATAAGAGAATTGCATTATATATTACACAGTATGTGGATATTGAAATGTATCACTTGGGGGGCGGGTTCTCTTCATGAGCAAAACAGTCTTGTCTGTATATAAGACTTTTTTTTTTTTTAAACCAAACTAGCATTTCATTTTGTGAGTGACAGTTGCCATTTTAAAATAAGCATAGGCCAGGCATAGTGGCTCATGCCTGTAATCCCAGCACTTGGGAGGCCAAGGGAGGCAGATCACTTGAGGTCAGGAGTTCGAGAACAGCCTGGCCAATATGGTGAAACCCTGTCTCTACTAAAAAAATTTAAATGAGTATATCTGGGCCGGGCGCAGTGGCTCACACCTGGAATCCCAGCACTTTGGGAGGTCAAGGCGGGTGGATCGCCTGAGGTCAGGAGTTCGAGACCAGCCTGGCCAACATGGCAAAACTCTGTCTCTACTAAACATATAAAAACTAGCCCGGTGTGGTGGCACACGCCTGTAATCCTAGCTACTTGAGAGGCTAAGGCAGGAGAATCGCTTGAACCTGTGAGACGGAGGTTGCAGTGAGCCGAGATTGTGCCACTGCACTCCAGCCTAGGCAAAAGAGTGAGACTTTGACTCAAAAAAATAAAATAAGCATATCTGGATTTTTCTTTTGAATCCTTGACTGATAAGTTTGAGAATGTATGTTATTGGAATTTTACAGTTGACTCCAGTGTGAAAGTATACACAAGTAATTTTTCTTTTCTAGCTATATGAATGTAAAATACTTGCAGATAATGTATATATTGTGTAACATATGTATATTTGGTCATAAAAGCAGATAATTGGAAACGTAAAATTAAGCACTTTAATTCCTATTAAATATTAAACATTTGTATCTTGTAAATAAACACATCCTTAAAATAATTGCAAAGCTTTACATGTTATTTCAGCTAGGATTATACATGTTCGATTCACAATGATTTCAGTTGCCTGCTCAGGAAAGTTTCTCCAGTAGGGTACTGATACTCCTACCTCCAACCTACCCTCTGCCAAAAAAAAAAAAACTGTATAAGTCCTTCAAGAATAAAGTTTATGACAAGGTTCTCCAAGTTTAGAAATAGTGGCTTCTCTTTGTGATAACTCCAAGTCTAGATCTCCAAGAACCAACAAAACGGTGCTACTCCATCCCTGGGAAACTATTGCTTTGCTCCATGGTTTGTGGTATTTGCTACATTCTAAAGGCTTATACAGTCGGCCCACAGTGTCCATGGGAGCTTAGCTCCAGGACTACCCGCAGGAACCCAAATCTGCTCATGCTCAAGTCCCTGAGGAATTCTCTGGAACCTACAGATACCGAGTCAAACCACTGTATTTGTGGGTTTCGCATCCTGATGGAATACCGTGTTTTTTTGGTTTCGTTTTTTTTAAAAGACAG